TATTTCTCCTTCAAATACCTTTCTGACGATTTTTCACAGAAACTTGTGATTTTTAGTAAGAGCTCAAAGCATTATGGTCTTGCCATCCAACTGATGGGAAATTCAGTTTAACTTTTCACACTTCAGAGATCTCATTTAAACAGTAAGAGAATGACAGCTTTAATAGTTTTGGTAAGATATGTTAAGATGAAATAAGTGTTTCTGCTTACCTGATTTTGTTGCAAGACAAATTGAGTTCACGCAACTTCAACAGTTTATCCAACTTTTCAATCTTCTCTATTTGGTTGTTACTAAGATTTAGTGTCTCTAGCTTAGAGCACTTTTCCAAATTTTCTATGTACTAAAGAATAGAAAATATGTGACATATCATTGCACTTTATTTCTTTAAATGAGAAAGGCAGATTTCCAGTTTTAACAAATACATTCATAGAAAAAAAATAAGCAAAGTACTTCTAACATGTTATTAATCACTTTCATTGTTGCATTCATTGTTGCACCCTCTTTCCCTCTTTTAACTAACAGCCTTCTATAGTGCTGGAGGAGTAAAACTAGATTCTAAGTTTTCAGTGGGCCAATCTACACAGAAGGGAATTTGCTATAAAGAACCCTGACTAAAATAACAGCACAATCCAAAAATTAAGAAGTTTACACAGTGTTCTCAACTTTATTCAAATTGATCCATGGTTTCTTCTTTTCAAGAAGTCACCACTGACATTCTCTCTCTCTATATATATTTTTTTATTCTTCCAGAAGCTTCTACAGTACTAGGCTAACATAATTAGAATATAAAGTTTTTTCTGATTTTTTTTTTTTAAAGTGGATATAAAGTTATTTTATATATTTATATATATACACACATATATATCAAAATGTACTTTGGTTTTATTAACAATTATTTTCAATACCTTACCTTAAATTTCTTGTCTCCATCCTTTGGGGATGAAAGATTGAGTGAGCTTAGACATGCCAAGTTTTCCTGTTTTGACAGGACTTTTATGAGGGGTTCTGTAATGTACTTAACTCCTGGACTAACACCATTTTCATCTGAAATTAAACAAAGAAACTACCTTCAGTGGTGAAACAATTGGTGACCTTTACATTCATCATCTACTTCACTCTGTATACAGGGAAGGCTTGAAAATTATTCTACCCCATACGGGATGAGAAGAAACAGCACACCAGATGCATTTACAGGAAATGACGTGTTAGCATAAACGGGTATATTCTTTCAAAAAAAAAAAAAAAAAAAAAAAAGCACAGTATGTTCCTCCCTCTTTTAGTATTCTCTGCCGGTGCATTATTCTATACAGCTTTCACTGCTGTCATTTACACCTTTGAGAGTTGAAAGCAAATTTCTCATATTTCTTTCCAGCAAATCATAGATCTTTAATCATAGAGTTGACAGAACATTGGCCTTCTGTGGTTTTAGTGTGTACTTTTATACCAGCAGTTTTTTATACATTACCTTCATGAAACTTATATTCAAGAGGAGCTTCTACATTTTTTGCTGTAATATCAAGTTGCTGATTTCTCCGTTCCCTGCTTTTGTGAGCAGATGGAGACGTCTGTTGGCTACGAGGAGATGGTGATCTGGTGCTTGAACCAACAGAAGACATTGGACTAGGTGTCCGAGAAGATGGCATCTGTGTTTTTCCACATAATGCTTTTTTTATGTAGCTTTTCTTCATTGCCAAAAATACAGAATATCATATGACCAATATCTGTAAGGAAAAAAAATAAACATATATAAGGCAAAACTCTTGATTGTTTGCTTTCCAAGAAAGTTGTTAAAAAGAGTACCTTGTTGAAGGACTTTAAGTGCTTGTTGTCTAAGTATCTGTGCCTAATGGCACAAGTTATTGCTTTAGATGATACACAGTTTGAGACATCACAGAGGTGATAGCTGAAAAAATTGTCTTTTTAGCGTAAGAAATATTTCCAGCAATAATAGAGTGCCAAAAATACATTTAAACCAATTCTCCAGCGGGTGACAGCTTCCATTTTTCATGGGCCAATGCATATCTGGAGGAATGCTATAGCTGTACACTTATGCCATTCTAAAGCACAACGCCAGGAACTGTGCTGAACTGCTTTCTGTTTTGCAGCTCGTCTTGGTAACTGTCCTGTGATTTATGGCTCACGCCAAGTCTGGAGACACTCACAACTCAGACTAACATCGTTGGCAGAGGACAGAAAGACAGGACAAGGATCCCAAGTGCTTTTACCAAGGCTAGAAATCATCCACTTCATAGCTCAAGGAGTAGTTAGAAGCAAAAGGGGAGAAAAGAAAAAAAAGGAAGTAAAAATAAATAAATAAATATCTATCTAACCCTGGCACAGTGTCCCCTTTCTGCAACAAATTATTCTGTGACTGAGTGGGAAGTTCCAGGGAATTGTTAATGGCAGCTTCCACTGATGACGAATGTGGTTTCCCTAAGGGTAAGCGCAGACAGAGCCATGCTCATTGCGTGTGTGGAAGCCCTCATAGTAAACATCTCCAGGGGATGGAGTTTTACCAAAACCGAGACCCTGTAAGCAGAAACACATTCTAAGATGTTCTTTAAGATAAAAGCATGTGCTTTTAGGGGAACTTAGACACAATGCAATCACTCATATAGCTTAACGTTGAGAAAGCTTTTTTCATTACAATGGAATTTTCAATGAATCTTTAAAGACAAAAAAAGAATGGAAGTAAAAGCCGCTCTCTTGTAAGCCAGCATGAAGAGACACAACTCATTCAGGGCTGTGAAAGTGAGCTCTGAAGGGGCAGAAGAGGCGTAAGACCGACGGTGAGCGAGTGAAAAGCTACCATGGAAAGCATCATCATTTTAAAGAAACGCAATTACCTTAACGCTTAGATTTTATAGAAACAAACAAACAAAAAAGTGTTCAGGCAACGAAAACCCCAACAAACCTCCCGTGCTAAAAAGGGCGGGAGAGGGGGAGCGCCGAGCGGTGCCCCCTGAGGGGAGCCTGAGGGGAGCCTGAGGGGAGCCTGAGGGGAGCCTGAGGGGAGCCTGAGGGGAGCCTGAGGGGAGCCTGAGGGGAGCCTGAGGGGAGCCTGAGGGGCCCGGGTGCCGCCAGCCGGCCTCACGATGGGCGCTGACAGGACGCCCAGCCCGCAGCGAGGCGACCGGGAGCGCGGTGCCCGCCGAGAGGGACGCGGAGCCCGCTGAGGGCGATCCCCTCGGGCCACCGCTGTGCTTACCTGCGTTGACATGGTAACGCCGTTTGGCCGCTCGCTGGGGCGGGCACGGTGGCCTCCCACAGCCTCCCGCAGCACCCAGCGTGAGGGAGGAGATCCCCAGAGCCCCCCCCGTCACGCCACCTGCCTTCCTCCGCCGCGGGATCCTCGCCCGCCTCAGCCGCCACGCCCGCGGGTAGGCGGCTCCTTTAAGGACCCGGCACCGGCGGCCGGCCCGACGCCATTTTGTTTGGTCGCTGGGCGCCGACGGGCGAGCGGGCTGGGGGCGGGGCCTCCCGGAGCCACGCCCCTCATCGCCCCTGTCCCCGCCCGCCGCTTTCCCGCCCGCGGTGTCTCCTCAGGCGCGTGCGCTGCCCCGTTCCCGCCGCGGGGCCGACGGGCGCCTCGCCTCAGGCTGTGCCTGCTGCTGAGGAGATTTGTCCTGAGGGGTTTTGTCCTGACTGAAGCCCCAGTGACCCTATAAAGTGACCCTATATATAACAACCTATTCCCTTGTGATGCTATTGGGGATTTAAGCTCGTGCTTTGTATGTCTGTGTCCATCAAGTTTGAGCCTACACACGTAAACTTATCCTTAGATGGGTTTTACTCCTGAACTCAGTGGTGTAGGCCTAAATATAACTCTGTTTTCACAGCAATATTTAAATAAATCCTTTTTAACAGTTTGGCGTTGTGTTTTTGGAGCCTGCCCACTTTCAAGGTGTGAAATGTGCAGCAAGTAGAAAAAATAGTAAACCAAATCTGACAAAGAATGTAAGGAAGACATAACTATTAGAGTTTGTAACCAATATAAGTTGAAAAGCATCCAAAATGTTGTTAGACCTTTAAAGTGTTTTCCAACATTCTTTACTGATTACACCTTTTTATTTACATATCACCCACATGAACATTCTTGTGGTTTTATATTGATAGTTATTTTGACTTTTTTTTTAATAACAATGACTACATTTTATATTTTATTATTATTTTATTTTAATATTAAAATACTTTATTATTTTATACATTGTTGCTTCCCTTGTAGTTTGTAACTTCAGTTTCTGAAGGCACTATTGGTCTTATTGTAATTTAATTTTATATTGATCAGAAACAGTTTTGTAAATAGTTTTCCCGTAAAGGCTGACTCCAATGTTTATTTAAGCTTGAGAAGTCTTACACAACTTTAGTTTAACTTTCTATAATCCTGTTTGCTTAGGTCCTATGCTTGAATACTAAGTATGCAGAGTTTTTATTAGTTTCTTTTTGCAAATGCTATTTACAATAGTACATGTGCTGAGTGTATTGTGCCCTAATATTTTCATATTCTAATGTAGGTACTCAGAAAGCTGGCATAATCAGGAATACAAACAGATAAAAAAAAAAGTTGCAAGCAAAGAGTTCAAAACAAAACAAAACAAAAATAAAAAGGAAACCTGATCTAAAAATATCAGGACAGTTTGGTAAATATAAGTGAAATGTTTTTTTCTTCAGAAGCAAATTTAAAATCATATCATGGATTTAAATAAAAAATATTTTCTGAAGGGCTAGCTGAATCTGATTTTTCGTGGTTTTGTTTTGCTTTATCTAATTTTTTTTTTTGTGGCTGTCTAACAGGGAGAATGTTAGGATTGACATATATTAAAATATATGTCAAAATGTATTTAAATATATTTTAAAAAAAAAAAAGAAATCCTAAGTGTAGTTGTTTCGGATTCTTTGTGAGTTAAAGAATTTGGAAGGGGCAATAACATTTTAGTAAAACAAGATCTGCAATTAATTATTAACAGTGGGTGATACGTATTGGTGGTATTTCTGTTCATCTACAGTAGAAGCCAGATAGGGTTGAATCCAGATTTGTTAGCATTGTTGGTGTGTTTTGTGTGATGCTATGGCTATTTTAATATTTTGTTTTGTTTTGTTATTTTCTGGAACAGCTTTTAGTCAAGATAAAACGTAAGTAAAACAAATATAGTATTTACTGGAAATGATACTTTATAATTGACCGCTATTTTAAGTGAATAGATACAGGATTTCAGTAGAGCCGGTGCAGAAGACACTACTCAAACTGATGTGTCTTCACAAGCAAAATTCTTACTAAAGTATGTGGACTAACCTTAGAAAAAGGACTGCTGCTTCTGGAATTACGCAATTTGCTGCCAAAGAAAGAGGTAGAATCAATCCGTTATGTTGCATAAATTCTGGACATAACGAAAAGATAAATATGCAAAAAAGTTAAGTAAAGTTTGGCGCTTGATACCTTTTCTATAGTGCCTGAAGACATAATACGCTATGGGTTTCATAAAAGCTCTTATTTATAGCAATCGATCTAAGTGCTGTTACCATTTCAGAAAAAGGTGCACGTATATTGAATGTGCAGCAGCACTTCACATATATGTATTTACATGAGGTATATTATGTGTTCAGGTATTAAAGCCTGGTTTGTGGTTTTGTGGAATAATGCATACTTCAGTTTATACAGCAATGAAGAAATTAGGGTAATCCTGCAAAAATTTACTCACATTTATCTTTATTGTAAGTTGCCCGTTCATTTCAATAAGAACGTTGCTGCTGGGAAAACTATACAAGTATGCTACTTGAAGCAGTAGCATTTCAGGTGTTCATTTGGCAAAATAAGTAATTATTTTTACATAAATCTCCTGTCTTAGTAGGCACGCTTTTCTGTGTCTGCAGAATCGAATCCATAAATATTGCCTAAGCTGTTATTTGGTTACATTACATTACAGTTTTCATCAAAATGACTCTAACTGGGGCTATGCTGTTTTTAACTACTGTATTAGAATAACTTCACCTGGTCTTTAGCTCATTTGCTTTATCAGTGTCTACGTAAATGAGTTAGAAATGGAAGTAAGAAATACGAAAGTATAGTTCCAATACCCTTTGATTATTTCATGTTTCGTATACAGCTATGTCCTTACAGCATCAAAGGTTTTCCGAGTTGGGACATCTGAGAAAGTTGTGGTTCAAGCTTTTGGTTATGAGAAGGAATTTGCAGTCAACGTTGCCTTAAGAAGCTTTCCAGATAAGCTTGTTTCTTACTCGTCTGGCCGCATTTCTTTAACTCCAGACAACAAATTCCAAGATGCTGTAACTTTAACTGTAAGGAATTTGGACTTTTATTGTCATGTTTTTATTGTTGCATTTAGTCGTTAGTGTTAGAAAAACAAGATTGTGGTAAGCTTACGTTTGCTTAAACTGGGTGGAAAAGCCTCGGGCCCTGACTTGTCAGTTTGCTGCGTGTAGTTTATTTCATTTTAGTTTGTCTGAAATTGAAAATATATGGGATAAAATGAGTGTAAAGGAGTGATGTCAAAGCTAAACGTAAGATCATATTATTTTAGAAACATTATCTTGTTTGTATAACATTCCAAAAAGAAAAAGGAAGGGATGGAGAAGCGTTCAGTGTGGACAAGATACCTCAAATGAGTGTTCAGAGTAAGCCAAAATGGCAACTGAAACTGAAACTCAAGCTATTTCACCAAACTATCGACCACAACAGCAACGTTGGTGTGGCTGAGATTCGCTGTTTATATATATGGAAGTCTGGTAAATTATAATGTCATAACTTCGTAACTTGTGTTTTAACTTTGCTATTTCAGTTCTTGAAATAAATACAAAATTGAAAATACTTCTTTGTAGTTTAATATTTCCGACTGTTATCAATGATGTAAGCAAGAATAATCCCCTCCTGTGGATGTTTTTGTTTAATAATAATTAACAACAGAATATTAATTGCTATTCAGAACCTATTCTCAACAAGAAATGCTGTAGAAAAAATACTAGAAAACTATTCTAATACTCTTTAACAGTATCTCATCTCCCCCAGCTTCAACCAGCAGATTTAGCAAGGACAGAGGATTCAGTCAAGTATGTGTATTTGGAAGCTGTTTCCCCACATTTTACCAGATTGAAAAAAATTCCTGTTTCCTATGAGAATGGCTTTCTTTTTATTCACACAGACAAACCAGTTTATACTCCCGATCAGTCAGGTAAATAATGTTTATTTCTCTTAGCTTTCACTTAGTTTTTACGAGCTGATGATATTGACAGGGAATGAGGATTTAAATGTACTTTAAGCTCTTGTTCATAGTATGTTATCATCAGTCACTATGTATTTTCTTAATCATCAAAAGAATATTTTGAAATATTTGATCATAGTGTAGAAATTAATCATTTCTCCCGGTGTCCTCTCCTCTGAGTCCCTGCCCTCTACACCTTACATGATTAATCTGTGGCACAAACAGTGGAGAAATTGTGCAGGGAATATGTATTAAAAAAAATGTCAAGAAATAGTGATGACTGAATCATTGGTTTTGTGTACGTTGAGCTCATTTACTGCTTTTATCTGTTTTTGCTAGCATGAATAAATATTGTTTGGATAGCATACTGACAAAAGCTCAAAGTCATTCTATAAGTACTAAAGAAATTAGTAGAGAAAAAGGTTGTTTTTGTTTTTTAATATTGATAACAGTATGACTTTGAGATCTATTCTAATGTTTCTTACAGTGAAAGTCAGAGTTTACTCTCTCAATGAAGATCTGCAGCCAGCTCGGCGAGAAACTGTCCTAACTTTTGTGGTATGTTGTTACTGAATTTAATTTTAATATTCTGTGGGTCACAAAAGCAATAAACCTCGTTATATAGTAAATCAGCATTGCAATGGATATATAATAACATTGTCAGATAAATATTCTTGCAATAATAAAACTGTTAGATAAATACTTTTGCAGATCGCCAGACATCTTTTAAAAGATCTAAAACAGACTGCACACAGATCTTTTTTAAACCTTAATATCTAGGGAAAGGATTTGTGAGAAAATTTTGATAATATATTGTTTTCATATTGTTCTTTATTTCTTTTAAGATAGAAAAAATCAATAGCTCCTGTGCTACGTTTTTTTTTAGCCATAACGATAGTTATTGTTATTACAGTAACCTGGCAACATCAAGTATTGTGAAGTAACAACTTTTAATTGTTGGAAACACAGTAAAATGTTTTATCAGAATTTCAGAACCTGAAATTCTTTTAAAAAAATTTGCATTTTGGTGCTGTGAAATTGGCAAAACTCTTAAAAGCGTACATTATGGGCAGGGTCCCACTAAAATCCCCAAATGAAGATTTTTCTTTCAATGAGACTGATCTAACTGCTGGTTCTTTACTGTTATTTTTCAAAGGATCCCGATGGAGTAAAAGTGGATATCATAGAAGAAAAAGACTTCACTGGAATAGTTTCTTTTCCTGACTTCAAAATTCCTCCTAATCCTAAGTAGGTATAATTAATACTCGTTGAGAATTATTAGCATAATACTCCCTTTTCTTTTTTCAAAAGACTGCCAGAGTGTCTATTGCTGATACAAAGTTTTAAACTGAAAGGGAGTAGATTTAGATTAGAAGAAATTCTTTATTGTAAGGAGGGTTAGATACTGGAATAGGTAGCCCAGAAAAGTTGCGGATGCCCTGGAAGCATTCAAGGTCAAGCTGAATGGGACCTTAAGCAACCTGCGCTAGTAAAGGTGTTCCCTGCCCATGACAGGGTGGTTGGAACAAATGATGTTTAAAAGTCCCTTCCAACTCGAGCCATCGTATGATTCTATGAAGTTTCTTTGAATGGTAAAACAGGAAGACAGGCGCAGTTAAATATGATCTGCACCTAGACGTTTTGTGGGCTTAAGGAAAGCAACTTGAAATGAAACGAATGCCTTTTGAGTGCTTCTAGTTGCAGGAAAAAATCATCCAGGTTATAGTAAATCAGATAGGTGATGACCAATAATCGTGCTGACTACACTGAAACAGAGCTGGAGAGCCACAAATAGGCATTTGTCTAATCTCAGGGGTGATAATTGGCAAGTGGAAGATGGCAGCAAATAGTGCTTTAATGACTCCAGTTACATTTGCGGTCTTCCAAATATGTCTCTGCTTGTTGTAACTGTATGACAAAAAATTCTGACAGTAGTCAGAACATAAATAATGGTATATTCTTTTCAAATATGTATCAATCCTTCAAAATAAGTTTCAAGTAATTTTATTCAAAATATCAGAGTAGCGGAATCTTCTCAAAGAGGTATCGTACACGTGCAAAAAAACTCAGTGCCTGACTTTTCTAATTATTAATATTTTCACTTTTAATAATAATTTTCATTTTAAAAAATAACGATTGTTGATATTGTAGGTATGGAATTTGGAAGATTGAAGCCAAGTACAAAAAGGATTTCATAACCTCTGCTGTTGCAAATTTTGAAGTTAAGGAATATGGTAAGGTGTTCATGTACACATGAATCTTCATTTTACGTGCCTTTTTTGCATGAAATTCATGTAGGGCAGCTATACAACACAGAGGAACAAAACACAGAAATGCTTGAAGTAACATTGGCCTACTTTATACAGCAATGGGATGCAGTATAGTGCCAAGTGGCAATATCAGTTCAAGCTAATGTCTCATATCAGGATAAGATATATGATGACATATTTGTGAGTATCTGTGATATGATGTTTAAAAATGCATCAAAGTGGCTTCATTTTCTACTCATTTTTTTCAGCGCTGCCAAGCTTTTCCATCGTCATACAGCCAGAACGTAACTTTATTAGTTCTGATAAATTTGAGAACTTCAGGATTGCTGTGAAAGCTAGGTAAGGAAATTAGGCTTTGATTTCTAGATGTGTGCCACATCTTTACCTTAAGGATGATTGTCCTGTGTTGAGAAGCTTCCTCTTTCTCAAGGAGCCCTATTATCACAATCATTTCTGCTATGTGAGAGAGCTAGGTGAACCTTTTTAAAATTCTCACAGTGATTATTTTTCAACAGAAGTGTTTGTAAAGCTACATAGGCATTTGTTTTCTGTTTCTTGCTTAGGAAATGACTCTCCTCAAAAATGAATGCTTTGTTGCAGCCATTACGATCTTAACATTTCTATCATTGTTTTATTCTCAGCTATTTTTATAATAAAAGGCTACCAAGTGCTGATGTTTTTCTTCGTTTTGGAATAATTGAAGGAACTGGAAAAAGAATGATGCCTCGTGCAATGCATGTAACTAGGGTAAGAAAAAACAAGCCTAAATTGCTTAGTTCAGGACTGATCTAATTCCATTTAAGTTGGGGAGAATATCTTCCAACTCCATTTGCATCGACAGCTATTGAGTGTCAACTTTACCTTTGTAATCCTGTCACCAGGGGCATAGAAAGTTACTTTACAATGAAACTCAGAGGCAGCGTCTCAGACAGAACGGAACTTCAGTTTCATTCAATTGCTTCCTTGAGTAAACTGTGTTTGAAGTTTCTGTGAAACAACATTTTTGCTATCTATTTATAGAATAAACAAAAAGAAATCAAACATAGGATCAATGTAATAATACCAAATCAGGATTGGAGACAGACAAATCAAAATTGAAACAATGTGTTATGGGGAGACTGTTCTCCCCCAGTTCCCCTTCCCTTATCTAGTCTGGTCTTTTTGTTTTATTCATTGCAGAATGATAAAAGACATTATCTTCCCTGAATGAGCAGGGATATATCTGTGTTATTCGTAGAATCATAGAATGGTTTGGGTTGGAAGGGACCTTAAAGATCATCTAGGAATCACCTACCTCTTGTTTGGTCTGCATGCAGACTTCATAGCATGTACTATGGGTTGATTAATTGGTAATAAATTAATCAACCCATAGGTAAAAAAGAATTCTTAATCATGAAATTCTACATTAAAATGTCTCCATCTTTGATTTCCCCTAAAACAGTCAGAGCAGAAACATGCTGAAAAGAATTTACTCATAGTTTACCATATCTTATTTCTAAGTTATTGACTGTAAAGGAATACTTTTTATTTAATTTCCAGCTTGAAAATGGTGTTGCTGAAATCAGTTTTAACAGTAAGAAAGAAGTGAGTGACTTAGGATTTCAAAGTCTAGAAGAATTGGATGGGTCATATTTATATATTGCAGCATCAGTGATGGAATCTACGGGTAAGTTGCTTTCACGTGATTTCTTCAAACACATCTGCAAATGTAAACAGAACAAAAAAAAAATATACAGCTAACTTTGTTAGTATCAGACTTTCTTTGGTACTCAGGAATCCTTCAGCCAGAAGCTTATAAAAAACAGCCTGTCCATCAGTGTAAAAATGGGGTTAAACTTTTTTTTTTTTTATTGCTATTTGTTTTCACAGTGCTAAGTGTTTAATTTTTAGGTGAAAGGACTTCACCATCAGAGACAGATTGTGCTGTCCTTTGAAAGCATGTGCCCTAGGATGTGCTTATTAAAAGTGGCATATTTTTTAGGTGGCCTCAGTGGTGAAGTAGAATATACTGGAGTCAGATACGTTGTATCTCCTTACAAATTGAACTTGATTGCTACTCCTCTCTTTATAAAGCCTGGACTTCCATTCTTCGTAAAGGTTAGTTAAAAGAAGTATTGTTGCACGTTACAACGTAAAATCCATAATGCAGAAGCCTTACTGTTTTGTTAATATCTGTAGGTCTTAACACACTTTTCATTTCCTTTGACTGTTTACTTTTTTTTTTTTTTTTTCATTTGCTACTGTAGAAGGTTAGCAGCTTGTTTTCTGCTTGAAAAATGTTGTTCATATAAGAAATGTTATCTCTTCTAATGAATAGGTGCAGGTGAAAGATACAGTAGATCACTCTGTTGGAAACATCCCTGTAACTCTCACTGCAAAATCATTCACTGAACAAATGGATGAGACTGAGTTGATATCAGAGGGTTCAGAAGCTGGGAGAAGAAAAACAAGCATCAATGATGGAACTGCTTTATTTGTTATTAATATCCCATCTGATAGCACGCTACTGGAGTTTCAAGTGAGTTAAACTCTCCCATTAACTTATTTCTTAGAAGATTTAATTCTGTACTTTTGCCAGTGTACAGCACCTGTGGTAAGACTTTGCTCTTAAAAGTTAGTAGTTTATAAACTTCGAGGTTGTTCCCAACAATCAGTTATGAAACATAAGTGCTATAATGAAACATTACTTCTATATTAAATTGTATTTGCATGTATTCTGAAACAAAATATCCCAATTTGTCATATATTTATTTAATAATAGTTGTTAAATAAAACACCTGAATGAATTACGAGAGAATAAGTCTCTGAGAGTGATTCTCTTGTTAGATAGGAAGACATACATGTATTATTGACCTTTTCTGATCTACTTTTTTATGGACATGCTTCTATACCGCCATTTTAATTTGACTTGGTATTTATAATTTTTTTTATTAAAGAAAACAGGAAAGTCTTGAGTTGGCTTATTTTCTTACCGTGATTGTTTATTTTCTGAAGTGTAACTTCATACTTAAACTATTCAGAAGTCAGGACATGCAGCTTTTGTTTCCTCCTTTGCTACAAAAATTTTTGGACATGTTATTATCTTTACAGATAAAAACTGTTGATCCACATCTTTCAGATGAAAACCAAGCAACCAAAACCTATGAGGCAAGAGCTTATTCGTCATTAAGTCGGAGTTATCTATACATTGACTGGGCTTCAAACCACAAAATACTTCAAGTAGGGGATTTCATCAATATTAATGTATATCCACATAGTCGGTATATTCATAAAATACATCACTACAGCTATTTGGTAAGTAACTGATGTTTCCACATGAAATCTTGAATTGAGATATGATCCTTAATGAAGAACATCAGCAGTCAGGATCTGTCACCAACACAGAATACGTGCTGCTCAGAAAACTGTTCAGAACATGTACTCTGCCTTTGCCTATAAAATGTGTCCGTTCTATAGTTATAATTTGTTACCAGTCTCATGTTTAAATCATATATTAAGGCTGTATTGTTTTGAATTCTCACCCAATGTAGACTGGAGTTAAGAAGTAGTGCCAATCTGAGAGGTGTTTCAGGAGCTGAATCATCTAAGGAAGACAAAGATGCACAGAGACAGCAGTTCTTTTTACAGAGAGGGAGCTACCCTCCCTCGAACTAGACACACCAGTCCCAAATGCATTTCTGTGTGTGGTGGATTATATCTAAATGCAAAATAACTTTTACATGTGTGAGACATGTAATATAAAATTTGACTTCTTTATTCTCCATCATCTTTCTACTATAGATCACGTCAAAAGGGAAGATAGTAAGCTTTGGAACTCAGAAAAGAATTAAAGATTTGGAATATGAACACCTAAGTTTTCAGATAACCCAAGAAATGGTTCCTTCAGCACGTCTTATTGTTTACTACATCGTCATGGGAGAAGAAACTGCTGAGTTAGTAGCTGATTCAGTCTGGCTGAACGTGGAACAGAAGTGTGGGAATAGTCTTGATGTGAGTAGTAAAATAGTCACTGAAATTTGTGGGTGTGCGTTCATTTTATGGTCAGATTTTAGCTTGGTATTACACAAGCTCTTTAACAGTTCCTTAACATAATAAAGTGTCCTGCCTCCAGATGCATTTATTTTGGATCAGTGTACTTTAAAAATAACTAACTATTTGGTTTTGATTTGTAGATTAAGGTGCTACCAAGCAAAAAGACACACAGACCAGCAGAAGTCTTATCGCTTTACATGAAAACACAGTTCAGTTCCTTTGTTGCTTTGTCATCTATTGACAAGGCAGTATATGGAGTTACTGGAAGAGGAAGGAGAGCAATGGAAAAAGTTAAGTCGTAGCCAAAAAAGAAAAATAAGTTGCTGTTTGTTCAGATTCATACTCAGATTGCTGTTACGGTTTTTGCCTTCAATAAACTTGAAAGTACACAGAAGAGCAATTCAACACAAAATAAAATGTGTGGGTTCTAAGTTATAAAAATAATTATTCACTATGTTTTGATTTCCAGTAAAAGTAAATGGTGGTTTTAAAGCCCAATCTGAACTGTCTCAACAGAAATCTTTAGACTTGGACAAAAATAGGCTGCAGTGTGAGAGAGCTCTGTGGTCTGAGAGGCACAGAGACTACATTCTCCCTTGTAGTTCTTCCTAAAATCTTTTTAGGTTCTGTTTTTTTAGGGCATACTGTTAGAATAATATGGCAGATGCAATTATGTTCGTAGGATTATAGAGGTTTTCAATCCTTGTAGAATTCTAGATATGTGTGTATGTAAGTAAACATGCGTATCATCTGTCACTGAGATAATTCCATTCCTGTGATAAAACGTGGCAGTTCTTTAATAGCTCAGAACAGTCAGATACAAGATAGGTAGAAGATGAACAGGAGAATACTTCTGCACCAACCTTGAATTATTTGAATCTGTTTTCTAGTACTGTTGAATGCTGGGTAAAAATACTTGATTTGGTTTTCAACAAGCTAGACGGAGTATCAGAACTGTTACAAACGTTAGTGAAGCATTCTGCCTCTGTTCTGCATAACTTGTTAGCTCAGACGCGCTACTAGAGGCATGATTGTGTTGGTTCTGGTGCTTGAATTAGTTCAAATATCGTGAAATGGTACTCTTCAGTGTATTGTGAAGACATTTTCTAGACTAAAGTGGCCTTTCGGCATGTATAATTCTCTTACCTGTCATATGATATATATGATATTCCCCACCTTTTAGTTAGCTGATGATATGCTTCTTCCTCAGGTAATGCAAGATTTGGAAAAGAGTGACCTTGGATGTGGTGCTGGAGGAGGACGGAATAACGTTGATGTATTCCGAATGGCTGGGCTTACATTTTTAACTAATGCAAATGCTGATGATTCAAACGAAGCAGGTATATTTCTTAGTTTTAAACATGAAACTGTAGATTTTCTCTCTTGAAGTTTTCTATTGTGACTCACAGTTATTATATTGGAACCTAATAAAATTAGTAGGGCATGCATATACTAAGAAATACAATTTTGAGGGAGGAAAGCATTGTAGTTTGTGTGTCATTTTCTGTAATTTAAATTATATATATATATATAATTTATATTTTAAATCTATATTTTATATAATTAATTTATATATATGTACATATATATATATATATATATATATATGTACATATATACATATATATATATATATATATATATATATATATACCAAATCTGGAATGTGATTTTTTGGATTGAAGTGGGCTGTGTTATGACCAAGAAACTCCTGTCTTTCATAGTTTTTGTGTTTGTTTTTATTTTTAACAGATGAAACTTGCAAAGTAATTGTAAGAACCAAACGGTCTGACTTCGTGGATCAAATACACAAGGAAGGTGATAAAAAAATTATTTTAAATATATAATTATGAAAAAGGTCATGTCTATTAGAAATCGATCATCTGAGAGTTTGCATAGTACTTTTGATTGCTGTTATCCACTTCATGTAGTAGAGGGATGGACAAATATAGAAAATGATAATTTAGAGGGCCCCATTTATAAAGCTCCTCATCCATATGCTCAGTTTGAATTCTATAAGATTAAGTACCCATTGAAAATACAGCATATCTGTAAGATTTCTTTTTCCTACTCGGAAAGGACATATTCTGAAAACTCACAGTACTACCATATGGTAGTCTTTCCAAGTGACCTCCTGTCAGTGACCAAGCCTGACAGAAGACCTTCTGTCCATTAGATCTTAGTGTAATAAAACTCCTCTAATTTATATTTTAAATTCAGTATTGTAGTATAAAGTGTGTGTCTCTAACATTTAAACATTTACATGTTTATTCTCAATCTTGAATCTATACCTTCATTGAAATTTTGCAAGTTTTAAAAACACATTTAGTATAACAAGTTAAAATGCATTTGAAAATAAAAACATCATCTCAAGGAAGGGATTTTTGTTGTTGTTGTTATTTCAGCATCCAAATATAAACATCCAGCAATTAAAAACTGCTGTATGGCTGGTGTAAAAGCATATCCAGTGAGTGAGACTTGCAGTGATAGAGCTCGGCGAGTTCGGGGTAATGAAAAGTGCATTTCAGCATTCAAGGATTGCTGTGAATTTGCCAACAGACTGCGGGACGAAGAGCCTAATAAGCTGCTAATGTTGTCAAGAACGCGTAAGTACAAGAACTTTGACTGTTGTGTGGATATTTTTAATAGATTATGGATAAATACAGAGGTGATAGCTTTGTTAATCTATTAACTCTCTCCAATTACCTGAGAGGGTTATTCGAGCAGATACTGTAGTCTCCATATACCTTGGTTGTATACCCCTAAAGAGGGGTAGGAGAGCGATTCTTTATTCTGTTAGGACTGTGCTGGAGAGCTGTGTTCTATTCATCCATGTTTAGAACAGGCAGCCATGCAAAATGGAATATTGTTGCCTGTGAAGGTAATGCTAAACTTGAATGCTCAACTGGAACCATTTGCCCAGGCCTAAAACAGCAAATGGGTAGCACGTCAGCAGAGATCAGTGGGAGTGTGAAATTTTCTGTCTCCCATTCTCTCGTTATAAACACTAGTTAACAGTTTTGTTTCGATGTTGGACAGGTATCCACATTTATAAATAGTTTGTTATAAATAAATAAACTTTTGATGAGGTTATTCAGGTATAATAATGGGAAATTCAGTTTAACTTTTCACACTTCAGAGATCTCATTTAAGCAATAAGAAAACGACAGATTTAATAGATTTGGTAAGATATGTTAAGATGAAATAAGTGTTTCTGCTTACCTGATTTTGTTGCAAGATAAATTGAGCTCACGCAACTTCAAGAGTTTATCGAACTTTTCAATCTTCTCTATTTGGTTGTTACTACGATTTAGTGTCTCCAGCTTAGAGCACTTTTCCAAATTTTCTATGTACTACAGAATAGAAAATGTGTGACATATCATTGCACTTTATTTCTTTAAATGAGAAAAGGCAGATTTCCAGTTTTAACAAATTCATTCATAGAAAAAAAAAAAAAGCAAAGTATTTCTAACATGTTATTAATCACTTTCATTGTTGCATTCATTGTTGCACCCTCTTTCCGTCTTTTAACTAACAGCCTTCTATAGTGCTGGAGGAGTAAAACTAGATTCTAAGTTTTCAGTGGGCCAATCTACACAAAAGGGTGTTGCAGGAAGCACGGCCGAAAGCACGACAGACACACAGTAGGGTCAGATCATACTCCATTTTATTGCCCGAATAGCCTAACTTTTATAGAGAACTTAACAGGGGTGGACAGTGTTTCACACAAGATTATTGGTCAAAAGCACTCAGACAAACAACTGCAAGAAAACAACCCCACCTGCGAGAAAACAACCCCCTTGTGATTAGCAGTCACATAGACCTTGTCCTTGAAGCCAGCTACTGGTAACAATATTTTTCTGAGTTCCTCAATTGGGCGATGTGGGAACACTGTCATGGGAACTTCTCATAGTTGCCCTGGTAGCTTGGTTTGCTCAGCTACAGCAAGCCATGGGATTTTTGCTGTTTCAAGAAATCCCTCAACAAAAGGGAATTTGCTATAAAGAACCCCGACTAAAATAACAGTACAATCCAAAAATTAAGAAATTTACACAGTGTTCTCAACTTTATTCAAAGTGATCCATGGTTTCTTCTTTTCAACAAGCCTCCACTGACATTCTCTCTCTCTATATAATTTTATTCTTCCAGAAGCTTCTACAGAACTAGGCTAACATAATTAGAATATAAAGGTCTTTTGTTTTTTTTAAGTGGATATAAAGTTATTTTATATATTTATATATATACACACATATATATTAAAATGTACTTTGGTTTTATTAACAGTTATTTTCAATAACTTACCTTAAATTTCTTGTCCCCATCCTTTGGGGATGAAAGATTGAGTGAGCTTATACATGCCAAGTTTTCCTGTTTTGACAGGACTTTTATGAGGGGTTCTGTAATGTACTTAACCATTTTCATCTAACACAATTTTCATCTGAAATTAAACAAAGAAACTACCTTCAGTGGTGAAACAATTGGTGACCTTTACATTCATCATCTACTTCACTCTGTATACAGGGAAGGCTTGAAAATTATTCTCCCCCATACGGGATGAGAAGAAACAGCACACCAGATGCATTTACAGGAAATGACGTGTTAGCATAAACGGGTATATTCTTTCAAAAAAAAAAAAAAAAAAAAGCACAGTATGTTCCTCCCTTTTTTAGTATTCTCTGCCGGTGCATTATTCTATACAGTTTTCACTGCTGTCATTTACACATTTGAGAACCAAGAGTTGAAAGCAAATTTCTCATATTTCTTTCCAGCAGATCATAGATCTTTAATCATAGAGTTGACAGAACATTGGCCTTCTGTGGTTTTAGCGTGTACTTTTATACCAGCAGTTTTTTATACATTACCTTCATGAAACTTATATTCAAGAGGAGCTTCTACATTTTTTGCTGTAATATCAAGTTGCTGATTCCTCCGTTCCCTGCTTTTGTGAGCAGAGAGAGACGTCTCAGGGCTATGAGGAGATGGTGATCTGGTGCTTGAACCAACAGAAGACATTGGACTAGGTGTCCGAGAAGATGGCATCTGTGTTTTTCCACATAATGCTTTTTTTATGTAGCTTTTCTTCATTGCCAAAAATACAGAATATCATATGACCAATATCTGTAAGGAAAAAAAAATAAACATACATAAGGCAAAACTCTTGATTGTTTGCTTTCCAAGAAGGTTGCTAAAAAAATACGTTGTTGAAGGACTTTAGGTGTTTGTTGTCTAAGTATCTGTGCCTAATGGCACAAGTTATTGCTTTAGATGATACACAGTTCGAGACATCACAGAGGTGGTAGTTGAAAAATTGTCTTTTTTCAAGACAATTGAAAGGGAAGGAAAAAAAAAGAAAAAAATGAAGTAAAAATAAATAAATAAGTATCTGTCTAACCCTGGCACAGTGTCCCCTTTCTACAACAAATTATTCTGTGACTGAGTGGGAAGTTCCAGGGAATTGTTAATGGCAGCTTCCACTGATGACAAACGTGGTTTCCCTAAGGGTAAGCGCAGAGAGCGCCATGCTCATTGCGTGTGTGGAAGCCCTCGTAGTAAACATCTCTGGGGATGGAGTTTTACCAAAACCGAGACCCTGTAAGCAGAAACACATTCTAAGATGTTCTTTAAGATAAAAGCATGTGCTTTTAGGGGAACTTAGACACAATGCAATCACTCATAGAGCTTAACGTTGAGAAAGCTTTTTTCATTACAATGGAATTTTCAATGAATCTTTAGAGACAAAAAAGACTGGAAGTAAAAGCCGCTCTCTTGTAAGCCTGCATGAAGAGACACAACTCATTCAGGGCTGGGAAAGTGAGCTCTGAAGGGGCAGAAGAGGCGTAAGACCGCGGTGAGCGAGTGAAAAGCTACCATGGAAAGCATCATCATTTTAAAGCCAGTTACCTTAATGCTTAGATTTTAATAGAAAAAAAAAAAAAAAAAGTAAAAAAAAAGAAAAAGTGATCTGGCAACAAACCCCCCGTGCTCAAAAGGGCGGGAGGGGGGTAACGCCGACCAGTTCCCCCTGAGGCGACGCCATTTTGTTTGGTCGCTGGGCGCCGACGGGCGAGCGGGCTGGGGGCGGGGCCTCCCGGAGCCACGCCCCTCATCGCCCCTGTCCCCGCCCGCCGCTTTCCCGCCCGTGGTGTCCCCTCAGGCGCGTGCGCTGCCCCGTTCCCGCCGCGGGGCCAACGGGCGCCTCGCCTCAGGCTGTGCCCGCTGCTGAGGAGATTTGTCCTGAGGGGTTTTGTCCTGACTGAAGCCCCAGTGACCCTATAACGTGACCTTATATAAAAGCCTATTCCCTTGTGATGCTATTGGGGATTTTATGCTCGTGCTTTGTGTGTCTGTGTCCATCAAGTTTGAGCCTACCCATGTAAAATTATCCTTAGATGGGTTTTACTCCTGAACTCGGTGGAGTAGGCCTAAATGTAACTGTGTTTTCACAGCAATATTTAAATAAAGCCTTTTTAACAGTTTGGCGTTGTGTTTTTGGAGCCTGCCCGCATTCGAGGTGTGAAATGTGCGGCAAGTAGAAAAAATAGTAAACCAAATCTGACAAAGAATGTAAGGAAGACATAACTATTAGAGTTTGTAACCAATATACGTTGAAAACCATCCAGAATACAGTTAGACCTTTAAAGTGTTTTCCAACATTCTTTACTGATTACATCTTTTTATTTATATATCACCCACATGAACATTCTTGTTGTTTTGTATTGATAGTTATTTTGACTTTTTTTTTAATAACTGACTACATTTTATTTTTTATTATTATTTTATTTTAATATTAAAATACTTTATTATTTTATACATTGTTGCTTCCCTCGTAGTTTGTAACTTCAGTTTCTGAAGGCCCTATTGGTCTTATTGTAATTTAATTTTATATTGATCAGAAACAGTTTTGTAAATAGTTTTCCCGTAAAGGCTGACTCCAATGTTTATTTAAGCTTGAGAAGTCTTACACAACTTTAGTTTAACTTTCTATAATCCTGTTTGCTTAGGTCCTATGCTTAAATACTAAGTATGCAGAGTTTTTATTAGTTTCTTTTTGCAAATGCTATTCACAATAGTACGTGTGCTGAGTGTATTGTGCCCTTAAATTTTCATATTCTCATGTAGGTACTCAGAAGGCTGGCATAATCAGGAATACAAACAGATAAAAAAAAAGTTGCAAGCAAAGAGTTAGTTCAAAACAAAACAAAACAAAAATAAAAAGGAAACCTGATCTAAAAATATCAGGACAGTTAGGTCAATGTAATTGAAATGCTTTTTTCTTCAGAAGCAAATTTAAAATCATATCATGGATTTAAATAAAAAATATTTTCTGAAGGGCTAGCTGAATCTGATTTTTCGTGGTTTTGTTTTGCTTTCTCTATTATATTTTTTTGTGGCTGTCTAACAGGGAGAATGTTAGGATTGACAGAATTGCTCCATATATTAAAAAAAAAAAGAAAAGAAAAAGAAATCCTAAGTTTAGCTGTTTCGGATTCTTTGTGAGTTAAAGAATTTGGAAGGGGCAATAACATTTTAGTAAAACAAGATCTGCAATTAATTATTAACTGTGGGTGATACGTATTGGTGGTATTTCTGTTCATCTACAGCAGAAGCCAGATAGGGTTGAATCCAGATTTGTTAGCATTGTTGGTGTGTTTTGTGTGATGCTATGGCTATTTTAATATTTTGTTCTGTTTTGTTATTTTCTGGAACAGCTTTTAGTCAAGATAAAACGTAAGTAAAACAAATATAGTATGTACTGGAAATGATACTTTATAATTGACCGCTATTTTAAGTGAATAGATACAGGATTTCAGTAGAGCCGGTGCAGAAGACACTACTCAAACTGATGTGCCTTCACAAGCAAAATTCTTACTAATGTATGTGGACTAACCTTAGAAAAAGGACTGCCACTCCTGGAATTACTCAATTTGCTGCCAAAGAAAGAGGTAGAATCAACTCGTTATGTTCCATAAATTCTGGAAATAACGAAAAGATAAATATGCAAAAAAGTTAAGTAAAGTTTGGCGCTTGATACCTTTTCTATAGTGCCTGAAGACATACCATGCTGCGGGTTTCATCAAAGCTCTTATTTATAGCAATCGATCTAAGTACTGTTACCATTTCAGAAAAAGGTGCACGTATATTGAATGTGCAGCAGCACTTCACATATGTGTATTTACATGAGGTATATTATGTGTTCAGGTATTAAAGCCTGGTTTGTGGTTTTGTGGAATAATGCATGCTTCAGTTTATACAGCAATGAAGAAATTAGGGTAATCCTGCAAAAATTTACTCATATTTGTCTTTATTGTAAGTTGCCCGTTCATTTCAATAAGAATGTTGCTGCTGGGAAAACTATACAAGTATGCTACTTGAAGCATTAGCATTTCAGGTGTTCATTTGGCAAAATAAGTAATTGTTTTTACATAAATATCCTGTCATAGTAGGCACGCTTTTCTGTGTCTGCAGAATCGAATCCATAAATATTGCCTAAGCTGTTATTTGGTTACATTACATTACAGTTTTCATCAAAATGACTCTAACTGGGGCTATGCTGTTTTTAACTACTGTATTAGAATAACTTCACCTGGTCTTTAGCTCATTTGCTTTATCAGTGTCTACGTAAATGAGTTAGAAACGGAAGTAAGAAATATGAAAGTATGGTTCCAATGCCCTTTGATTATTTCATGTTTTGTATACAGCTATGTCCTTACAGCATCAAAGGTTTTCCGAGTTGGGACATCTGAGAAAGTTGTGGTTCAAGCTTTTGGTTATGAGAAGGAATTTGCAGTCAACGTTGCCTTAAGAAGCTTTCCAGATAAGCTTGTTTCTTACTCGTCTGGCCGCATTTCTTTAACTCCAGACAACAAATTCCAAGATGCTGTAACTTTAACTGTAAGGAATTTGGACTTTTATTGTCATGTTTTTATTGTTGCATTTAGTCGTTAGTGTTAGAAAAACAAGATTGTGGTAAGCTTACGTTTGCTTAAACTGGGTGGAAAAGCCTCGGGCCCTGACTTGTCAGTTTGCTGCGTGTAGTTTATTTCATTTTAGTTTGTCTGAAATTGAAAATATATTGGATAAAATGAGTGTAAAGGAGTGATGTCAAAGCTAAACGTAAGATCATATTATTTTAGAAACATTATCTTGTTTGCATAACATTCCAAAAAGAAAAAGGAAGGGATGGAGAAGCGTTCAGTGTGGACAAGATACCTCAAATGAGTGTTCAGAGTAAGCCAAACTGGCAACTGAAACTGAAACTCAAGCTATTTCACCAAACTATCGACCACAACAGCAACGTTGGTGTGGCTGAGATTCGCTGTTTATATAAATGGAAGTCTGGTAAATTATAATGTCATAACTTTGTAACTTGTGTTTTAACTTTGCTATTTCAGTTCTTGAAATAAATACAAAATTGAAAATACTTCTTTGTAGTTTAATATTTCCGACTGTTATCAATGATGTAAGCAAGAATAATCCCCTCCTGTGGATGTTTTTGTTTAATAATAATTAACAACAGAATATTAATTGCTATTCAGAACCTATTCTCAACAAGAAATGTTGTAGAAAAAATACTAGAAAACTATTCTAATACTCTTTAACAGTATCTCATCTCCCCCAGCTTCAACCAGCAGATTTAGCAAGGACAGAGGATTCAGTCAAGTACGTGTATTTGGAAGCTGTTTCCCCACATTTTACCAGATTGAAAAAAATTCCTGTTTCCTATGAGAATGGCTTTCTTTTTATTCACACAGACAAACCAGTTTATACTCCCGATCAGTCAGGTAAATAATGTTTATTTCTCTTAGCTTTCACTTAGTTTTTACGAGCTGATGATATTGACAGGGAATGAGGATTTAAATGTACTTTAAGCTCTTGTTCATAGTGTCTTATCATCAGTCACTATTTATTTTCTTAATCATCAAAAGAATATTTTGAAATATTTGATCATACGGTAGAAATTAATCATTTCTCCCGGTGTCCTCTCCTCTGAGTCCCTGCCCTCTACACCTTACATGATTAATCTGTGGCACAAACAGTGGAGAAATTGTACACGGAATACATATTAAAAAATTGTCAAGAAATAGTGATGACTGAATCATTGGTTTTGTGTACGTTGAGCTCATTTACTGCTTTTATCTGTTGTTGCTAGCATGAATAAATATTGTTTGGATAGCATACTGACAAAAGCTCAAAGTCATTCTATAAGTACTAAAGAAATTAGTAGTGAAAAAGGTTGTTTTTGTTTTTTAATATTGATAACAGTATGACTTTGAGATCTATTGTAATGTTTCTTACAGTGAAAGTCAGAGTTTACTCTCTCAATGAAGATCTGCAGCCAGCTCGGCGAGAAACTGTCCTAACTTTTGTGGTATGTTGTTACTGAATTTAATTTTAATATTCTGTGGGTCACAAAAGCAATAAACCTCGTTATATAGTAAATCAGCATTGCAATGGATATATAATAACATTGTCAGATAAATATTCTTGCAATAATAAAACTGTTAGATAAATACTTTTGCAGATCGCCAGACATCTTTTAAAAGATCTAAAACAGACTGCACACAGATCTTTTTTAAACCTTAATATCTAGGGAAAGGATTTGTGAGAAAATTTTGATAATATATTGTTTTCATATTGTTCTTTATTTCTTTTAAGATAGAAAAAATCAATAGCTCCTGTGCTACGTTTTTTTTTAGCCATAACGATAGTTATTGTTATTACAGTAACCTGGCAACATCAAGTATTGTGAAGTAACAACTTTTAATTGTTGGAAACACAGTAAAATGTTTTATCAGAATTTCAGAACCTGAAATTCTTTTAAAAAAATTTGCATTTTGGTGCTGTGAAATTGGCAAAACTCTTAAAAGCGTACATTATGGGCAGGGTCCCACTAAAATCCCCAAATGAAGATTTTTCTTTCAATGAGACTGATCTAACTGCTGGTTCTTTACTGTTATTTTTCAAAGGATCCCGATGGAGTAAAAGTGGATATCATAGAAGAAAAAGACTTCACTGGAATAGTTTCTTTTCCTGACTTCAAAATTCCTCCTAATCCTAAGTAGGTATAATTAATACTCGTTGAGAATTATTAGCATAATACTCCCTTTTCTTTTTTCAAAAGACTGCCAGAGTGTCTATTGCTGATACAAAGTATTAAACTGAAAGGGAGTAGATTTAGATTAGAAGAAATTCTTTATTGTAAGGTGGGTTAGATACTGGAATAGGTAGCCCAGAGAAGTTGCGGATGCCCTGGAAGCATTCAAGGTCAAGCTGAATGGGACCTTAAGCAACCTGCTCTAGTGAAGGAGTTCCCTGCCCATGACAGGGTGGTTGGAACAAATGATGTTTAAAAGTCCCTTCCAACTCGAGCCATCGTATGATTCTATGAAGTTTCTTTGAATGGTAAAACAGGAAGACAGGCGCAGTTAAATATGATCTGCACCTAGACGTTTTGTGGGCTTAAGGAAAGCAACTTGAAATGAAACGAATGCCTTTTGAGTGCTTCTAGTTGCAGGAAAAAATCATCCAGGTTATAGTAAATCAGATAGGTGATGACCAATAATCGTGCTGACTACACTGAAACAGAGCTGGAGAGCCACAAATAGGCATTTGTCTAATCTCAGGGGTGATAATTGGCAAGTGGAAGATGGCAGCAAATAGTGCTTTAATGACTCCAGTTACATTTGCGGTCTTCCAAATACGTCTCTGCTTGTTGTAACTGTATGACAAAAAATTCTGACAGTAGTCAGAACATAAATAATGGTATATTCTTTTCAAATATGTATCAATCCTTCAAAATAAGTTTCAAGTAATTTTATTCAAAATATCAGAGTAGCGGAATCTTCTCAAAGAGGTATCGTACACGTGCAAAAAACTCAGTGCCTGACTTTTCTAATTATTAATATTTTCACTTTTAATAATAATTTTCATTTTAAAAAATAACGATTGTTGATATTGTAGGTATGGAATTTGGAAGATTGAAGCCAAGTACAAAAAGGATTTCATAACCTCTGCTGTTGCAAATTTTGAAGTTAAGGAATATGGTAAGGTGTTCATGTACACATGAATCTTCATTTTACGTGCCTTTTTTGCATGAAATTCATGTAGGGCAGCTATACAACACAGAGGAACAAAACACAGAAATGCTTGAAGTAACATTGGCCTACTTTATACAGCAATGGGATGCAGTATAGTGCCAAGTGGCAATATCAGTTCAAGCTAATGTCTCATATCAGTATAAGATATATGATGACATATTTGTGAGTATCTGTGATATGATGTTTAAAAACGCATCTAAGTGGCTTAATTTTCTACTCATTTTTTTCAGCGCTGCCAAGCTTTTCCATCGTCATACAGCCAGAACGTAACTTTATTAGTTCTGATAAATTTGAGAACTTCAGGATTGCTGTGAAAGCTAGGTAAGGAAATTAGGCTTTGATTTCTAGATGTGTGCCACATCTTTACCTTAAGAATGATTGTCCTGTGTTGAGAAGCTTCCTCTTTCTCAAGGAGCCCTATCATCACAATCATTTCTGCTATGTGAGAGAGCTAGGTGAACCTTTTTAAAATTCTCACAGTGATTATTTTTCAACAGAAGTGTTTATAAAGCTACATAGGCATTTGTTTTCTGTTTCTTGCTTAGGAAATGACTCTCCTCAAAAATGAATGCTTTGTTGCAGCCATTACGATCTTAACATTTCTATCATTGTTTTATTCTCAGCTATTTTTATAATAAAAGGCTACCAAGTGCTGATGTTTTTCTTCGTTTTGGAATAATTGAAGGAACTGGAAAAAGAATGATGCCTCGTGCAATGCATGTAACTAGGGTAAGAAAAAACAAGCCTAAATTGCTTAGTTCAGGACTGATCTAATTCCATTTAAGTTGGGGAGAATATCTTCCAACTCCATTTGCATCGACAGCTATTGAGTGTCAACTTTACCTTTGTAATCCTGTCACCAGGGGCATAGAAAGTTACTTTACAATGAAACTCAGAGGCAGTGTCTCAGACAGAATGGAACTTCAGTCTCATTCAATTGCTTCCTTGAGTAAACTGTGTTTGAAGTTTCTGTGAAACAACATTTTTGCTATCTATTTATAGAATAAACAAAAAGAAATCAAACATAGGATCAATGTAATAATACCAAATCAGGATTGGAGACAGACAAATCAAAATTATATCAATATGTTATGGGGAGACTGTTCTCCACCAGTTCCCCTTCCCTTACCTAGTCTGGTCTTTTTGTTTTATTCATTGCAGAATGATAAAAGACATTATCTTCCCTGAATGAGCAGGGATATATCTGTGTTATTCGTAGAATCATAGAATGGTTTGGGTTGGAAGGGACCTTAAAGATCATCTGGGAATCACCTACCTCTTGTTTGGTCTGCATGCAGACTTCATAGCATGTACTATGGGTTGATTAATTGCTAATAATTATATAGGTAAAAAAGAATTCTTAATCATGAAATTCTACATTAAAATGTCTCCATCTTTGATTTCCCCTAAAACAGTCAGAGCAGAAACATGCTGAGAAGAATTTACTCATAGATTACCATATCTTATTTCTAAGTTATTGACTGTAAAGGAATACTTTTTATTTAATTTCCAGCTTGAAAATGGTGTTGCTGAAATCAGTTTTAACAGTAAAAAAGAAGTGAGTGACTTAGGATTTCAAAGTCTAGAAGAATTGGATGGGTCATATTTATATATTGCAGCATCAGTGATGGAATCTACGGGTAAGTTGCTTTCAAGTGATTTCTTCAAACACATCTGCAAATGTAAACAGAACAAAAAAAAAATATACAGCTAACTTTGTTAGTATCAGACTTTCTTTGGTACTCAGGAATCCTTCAGCCAGAAGCTTATAAAAAACAGCCTGTCCATCAGTGTAAAAATGGGGTTAAACTTTTTTTTTATTGCTATTTGTTTTCACAGTGCTAAGTGTTTAATTTTTAGGTGAAAGGACTTCACCATCAGAGACAGATTGTGCTGCCCTTTGAGGGCATGTGCCCTAGGATGTGCTTATTAAAAGCGGCATATTTTTTAGGTGGCCTCAGTGGTGAAGTAGAATATACTGGAGTCAGATACGTTGTATCTCCTTACAAATTGAACTTGATTGCTACTCCTCTCTTTATAAAGCCTGGACTTCCATTCTTCGTAAAGGTTAGTTAAAAGAAGTATTGTTGCACGTTACAACGTAAAATCCATAATGCAGAAGCCTTACTGTTTTGTAAATATCTGTAGGTCTTAACACACTTTTCATTTCCTTTGACTGTTTACTTTTTTTTTTTTCATTTGCTACTGTAGAAGGTTAGCAGCTTGTTTTCTGCTTGAAAAATGTTGTTCATATAAGAAATGTTATCTCTTCTAATGAATAGGTGCAGGTGAAAGATACAGTAGATCACTCTGTTGGAAACATCCCTGTAACTCTCACTGCAAAATCATTCACTGAACAAATGGATGAGACTGAGTTGATATCAGAGGGTTCAGAATCTGGGAGAAGAATAACAAGCATCAATGATGGAACTGCTTTATTTGTTATTAATATCCCATCTGATAGCACGCTACTGGAGTTTCAAGTGAGTTAAATTCTCCCATTAACTTATTTCTTAGAAGATTTAATTCTGTGCTTTTGCCAGTGTACAGCACCCGTGGTAAGACTTTGCTCTTAAAAGTTTGTAGTTTATAAACTTTGAGATTGTTCCCAACAATCAGTTATGAAACATAAGTGCTATAATGAAACATTACTTCTATATTAAATTGTATTTGCATGTATTCTGAAACAAAATATCCCAATTTGTCATATATTTATTTAATAATAGTTGTTAAATAAAACACCTGAATGAATTACGAGAGAACAAATCTCTGAGAGTGATTCTCTTGTTAGATAGGAAGACGGATTATTGACCTTTTCTGATCTACTTTTTTATGGACATGCTTCTATACCGCCATTTTAATTTGACTTGGTATTTATAATTTTTTTTATTAAAGAAAACAGGAAAGTCTTGAGTTGGCTTATTTTCTTACCGTGATTGTTTATTTTCTGAAGTGTAACTTCATACTTAAACTATTCAGAAGTCAGGACATGCAGCTTTTGTTTCCTCCTTTGCTACAAAAATTTTTGGACATGTTATTATCTTTACAGATAAAAACTGTTGATCCACATCTTTCAGATGAAAACCAAGCAACCAAAACCTATGAGGCAAGAGCTTATTCATCATTAAGTCGGAGTTATCTATACATTGACTGGGCTTCAAACCACAAAGTACTTCAAGTAGGGGATTTCATCAATATTAATGTATATCCACATAGTCGGTATATTCATAAAATACATCACTACAGCTATTTGGTAAGTAACTGATGTTTCCACATGAAATCTTGAATTGAGATATGATCCTTAATGAAGAACATCAGCAGTCAGGATCTGTCACCAACACAGAATACGTGCTGCTCAGAAAACTGTTCAGAACATGTACTCTGCCTTTGCCTATAAAATGTATCCGTTCTATAGTTATAATTTGTTACCAGTCTCATGTTTAAATCATATATTAAGGCTGTATTGTTTTGAATTCTCACCCAGTGTAGACTGGAGTTAAGAAGTAGTGCCAATCTGAGAGGTGTTTCAGGAGCTGAATCATCTAAGGAAGACAAAGATGCACAGAGACAGCAGTTCTTTTTACAGAGAGGGAGCTACCCTCCCTCGAACTAGACACACCAGTCCCAAATGCATTTCTGTGTGTGGTGGATTATATCTAAATGCAAAATAACTTTTACATGTGTGAGACATGTAATATAAAATTTGACTTCTTTATTCTCCATCATCTTTCTACTATAGATCACGTCAAAAGGGAAGATAGTAAGCTTTGGAACTCAAAAAAGAATTAAAGATTTGGAATATGAACACCTAAGTTTTCAGATAACCCAAGAAATGGTTCCTTCAGCACGTCTTATTGTTTACTACATCGTCATGGGAGAAGAAACTGCTGAGTTAGTAGCTGATTCAGTCTGGCTGAACGTGGAACAGAAGTGTGGGAATAGTCTTGATGTGAGTAGTAAAATAGTCACTGAAATTTGTGGGTGTGCGTTCATTTTATGGTCAGATTTTAGCTTGGTATTACACAAGCTCTTTAACAGTTCCTTAACATAATAAAGTGTCCGCCTCCAGATGCATTTATTTTGGATCAGTGTACTTTAAAAATAACTAACATTTGTTTTTGATTTGTAGATTAAGGTGCTACCAAGCAAAAAGACACACAGACCAGCAGAAGTCTTATCGCTTTACATGAAAACACAGTTCAGTTCCTTTGTTGCTTTGTCATCTATTGACAAGGCAGTATATGGAGTTATTGGAAGAGGAAGGAGAGCAATGGAAAAAGTTAAGTCGTAGCCAAAAAAGAAAAATAAGTTGCTGTTTGTTTCAGATTCATACTCAGATTGCTGTTACGGTTTTTGCCTTCAATAAACTTGAAAGTACACAGAAGAGCAATTCAACACAAAATAAAATGTGTGGGTTCTAAGTTATAAAAATAATTAATTCACTATGTTTTGATTTCCAGTAAAAGTAAATGGTGGTTTTAAAGCCCAATCTGAACTGTCTCAACAGAAATCTTCAGACTTGGACAAAAATAGGCTGCAGTGTGAGAGAGCTCTGTGGTCCGAGAGGCATAGAGACTACATTCTCCCTTGTAGTTCTTCCTAAAATCTTTTTAGGTTCTGTTTTTTTTTAGGGCATACTGTTAGAATAATATGGCAGATGCAATTATGTTCGTTGGATTATAGAGGTTTTCAATCCTTGTAGAATTCTAGATATGTGTGTATGTAAGTAAACATGCGTATCATCTGTCACTGAGATAATTCCATTCCTGTGATAAAACGTGGCAGTTCTTTAATAGCTCAGAACAGTCAGATACAAGATAGGTAGAAGATGAACAGGAGAATACTTCTGCACCAACCTTGAATTATTTGAATCTGTTTTCTAGTACTGTTGAATGCTGGGTAAAAATACTTGATTTGGTTTTCAACAAGCTAGACGGAGTATCAGAACTGTTACAAACGTTAGTGAAGCATTCTGCCTCTGTTCTGCATAACTTGTTAGCTCAGACGCGCTACAAGGGCATGATTGTGTTGGTTCTGGTGCTTGAATTAGTTCAAATATCGTGAAATGGTACTCTTCAGTGTATTGTGAAGACATTTTCTAGACTAAAGTGGCCTTTCGGCATGTATAATTCTCTTACCTGTCATATGATATATATGATATTCCCCACCTTTTAGTTAGCTGATGATATGCTTCTTCCTCAGGTAATGCAAGATTTGGAAAAGAGTGACCTCGGATGTGGTGCTGGAGGAGGACGGAATAATGTTGATGTATTCCGAATGGCTGGGCTTACATTTTTAACTAATGCAAATGCTGATGATTCAAACGAAGCAGGTATATTTCTTAGTTTTAAACATGAAACTGTAGATTTTCTCTCTTGAAGTTTTCTATTGTGACTCACAGTTATTATATTGGAACCTAATAAAATTAGTAGGGCATGCATATACTAAGAAATACAATTTTGAGGGAGGAAAGCATTGTAGTTTGTGTGTCATTTTCTGTAATTTAAATTATATATATATATATATATATATATATATTTTTTTTTTGTAATTCAAATAATAGATTTTAAATCTCTACCAAATCTGGAATGTGATTTTTTGGATTGAAGTGAGCTGTGTTATGACCAAGAAACTCCTGTCTTTCATAGTTTTTGTGTTTGTTTTTATTTTTAACAGATGAAACTTGCAATGAAATTGTAAGAACCAAACGGTCTGACTTCCAGGAGCGAATACACAAGGAAGGTGATAAAAAAAATATTTCAAAATATATGATTATGAAAAAGGTCATGTCTATTAGAAATCGATCATCTGAGAGTTTGCATAGTATTTGCAAATATTTATATTTGTATTGATTGTTGTTATCCACTTCATGTAGTAGAGGGATGGACAAATATAGAAAATGATAATTTAGAGCACCCCACTTATAAAGCTCCTCATCCATATGCTCAGTTTGAATTCTATAAGATTAAGTACCCATTGAAAATACAGCATATCTGTAAGATTTCTTTTTCCTACTCGGAAAGGACATATTCTGAAAACTCACGGTACTACCATATGGTAGTCTTTCCAAGTGACCTCCTGTCAGTGACCAAGCCTGACAGAAGACCTTCTGTCCGTTAGATCTTAGTGTAATAAAACTCCTCTAATTTATATTTTAAATTCAGTATTGTAGTATAAAGTGTGTGTCTCTAACATTTAAACATTTACATATTTATGCTCAATCTTGAATCTATACCTTCATTGAAATTTTGCAAGTTTTAAAAACACATTTAGTATAACAAGTTAAAATGCGTTTGAAAATAAAAACATCATCTCAAGGAAGGGATTTTTGTTGTTGTTGTTATTTCAGCATCCAAATATAAACATCCAGCAATTAAAAACTGCTGTATGGCTGGTGTAAAAGCATATCCAGTGAGTGAGACTTGCAGTGATAGAGCTCGGCGAATTCGGAGTAATGAAAAGTGCATTTCAGCATTCAGGGATTGCTGTGAATTTGCCAACAGACTGCGGGAAGAAGAGCCTAATAAGCTGCTAATATTGGCAAGAATGCGTAAGTACAAGAATTTTGACTGTTGTGTGGAGATTTTTAATAGATTATGGATAAATACAGAGGTGATAGCTTTGTTAATCTAGTAACTCTCTCCAATTACCTGAGAGGGTTATTCGAGCAGATACTGTAGTCTCCATATACCTTGGTCGTATACCCCTAAAGAGAGGTAGGAGAGCGATTCTTTATTCTGTTAGGACTGTGCTGGAGAGCTGTGTTCTATTCATCCATGTTTAGAACAGGCAGCCATGCAAAATGGAATATTGTTGCCTGTGGAGGTAATGCTAACTTGAATGCTCAACTGGAATCATTAGCCCAGGCCTAAAACAGCCAATGGGTAACATGTCAGCACAGATCAGTGGGAGTGTGAAATCTTCTGTCTCCCATTCTCTCCTTATAATCTCTATTTAACAGGTTTGTTTGTTTGAATGTTGGACAGGTATCCACATTTATAAATAGTTTATTATAAATAAATAAACTTTTGATGAGGTTATTCAGGTATCATTTTTTCTTGTATCAGAACTAACTTGAGGCAAATAGAGTTACAGTAACACAAAAGGAAAATACAATGATTTTCAGGCCTTTGGTGGAAGGCTGTTGGCAAGGGTTTTCTTTGTTTGTTTGTTTACTTGATTTATGCATCTTCTACAGATTTTGAGGCTATCTTGGAACTGGATGAGGCAGAAGTTCGTAGCTATTTTCCTGAAAGCTGGTTATGGGAAGTTCACCAAGTTTCCTCTAGGTACTACTTTTCTCAAAGAAATTACTAACATTTGACTTAATCATCAGTTTAATAGAAAGTAATGCTAAAATTTTGACATAACCCGAGTAACTAGTCATACCCTAGACGTGTACTAAAATGCAGTTTTATATGAACACATTTTTCGTGTCATGTTGTTCTAAATGCAGGATATACTGTCTGGTGCCCACATTGTTGAATCACTTTTCCTTTCACTTTGAACTTTGTTAAACACCAGCTTCTTTCAAGTCAGATAAAAACAAGCTTATTCAAACAAAACCCCTCTGTTCCCTAAGTATGTTCCCATTTCTTGTCCTGTCTGAGTCTGTCTTAGATACAGGAGTTGCTCTGGGCAGCTAGTTTTTATGTTGATTAGCTGTTGTTAACAAATGGCTAATAATAATGTATGAATGTGTTAAATGTAAAAGAATAACACTTCTAATTGCAGATCAAAGTCTCTGTCTATCACTCTGCCTGATTCACTGACTACCTGGGAAGTGCAAGGTGTTGGCATTTCTGATAAAGGTAGGTACTGCAACCTAACTAGCTTTTAGCCAAATAGTTACATAGCGTTTCTGTTTGGATTTTGTAGAGACTCTCATTTTAGTTGCCACATATGTTCTTTAATGTTCATTTTCTGGTTATTAAAGAGGAAAACATCAAAATTAAAAAAAAAAAAAAGTTAAAAGTTTAAAAAAGTTTAAGGAACGATAATCACTGCCTTTCTTGCAGTGAACATAAAAATGCCAGGGCAAGACAAAGGTCTGTCTAACATAGTATCTTGTATTTGACAGTGGCCCATGATGACGAAGGAAGAATAACATCACAAATAGTCAGTGACTCTTCCTTGGCACAACTGGAGCGTCCAGCTATCAATAGCTTAGGGACTTGAGGAAAGGGAGAAACAGATTTTCTGATAGATACGGTAGTCCAGACAGAAGGTTTGCTTCTAGCTTTGGGAAGGGGTTGAAGCCCGAAGGACTGCTGTGTCAGCAAGTATGCAAAAGAAATGTATGTGAAAGTGAGTTTGTAAATGAAAACATACATGAGAAGAACAGGAAGCAAGAGCCAGTCATTTTTGAAAAAGCTGGACAAATTCAAAGTACATTTTGAAAAATGGTAAGATATCAATAAAGGTGGCAAGGATGTGGTTTATCAGAAGGGTGTTTTTGTGTTTGATTTTCTTAGGTATATGTGTTACTGCACCATTGGAAGTGCAAGTTGTAAAAGACATCTTCCTTAATGTTTATGTTCCTTATTCTGTGGTGCGAGGAGAACAAATTGAGTTAAAAGGATCAGTTTATAACCACAGAGCTTCTTCAATTAAGGTAATTTGTGGCCTTCATGAGTTCTGTTGAAATAGTGACAAAATAAACTGAATAAGCATTTCCTCTGCTAGTATCTAATATAAACACATCGCAGTATCAGATTTCTCCAATCCTTCAAGATGTGTTATATATGCTCTGCATAACTATGTAACGATAAAATCCAGTCATTACTCATTTAATTTCCAGCCATTCTGATTACAGTGTTGTCATGCTCTTACATAGCAAATTGCCTCACAGAAGTTCAAATCCACTTTTCTATTCCAAATGTTAGGATAAAATGTCAAGTAACTAATGGGATTTTTAGAATAACTTGCTCCAGAAATGACAGATTACTTTGTCTAGAGTTTTTACATAAATGGACTACTTTTAATGAAATGCATTTAAACAGAAATACAGAATTATTGAAAAGTATGCAAAGGTATTTTTGGTTCCAGGATGTTGAAAAGGACATCTGTTAGTGTGTCTCTAATGCAAATAGTAGTAATTCCACAGTTAGTAACACTCGTAGCACTTGTTCATGGTAAACAGAAAACAAGTATTATGGTTTAATAAAAAAAAAAAGTTCAGGATAGTATTTCAATGGCTTTAATATTTCTCTGGTACTGTACCTGTCATGGAGGTGAACATTAAAAATCTTTCTACTTTTCAGTTCTGTGTTAAAATAGCAGTTGGAGATGGAATCTGTTCCTTCGGAGGTTCTGCAACTACTGGATCAAGGATACGTGGTTGTAATCTTAAGTATCTAGGTAGCAGTTCTTCATCGCCATTTATGTTCAGAATACTGCCTTTGGAATTAGGTCTTCACACTATCAACTTTACACTGCTGACAGACGGAAACAGTGAAACTGTAGTTAAAACATTACGCGTAATGGTAAGAAAAAAATTTAAAATGTTTAGAGTGTTTTTGAATTTCGTATCGATTTAGTCTCAAGAAGTACAAAATATATGAAATCAATATATGAATATTGATTTATTTTAATGTTATCATGCAAATATCATGTAGTATCATTGAATTCACTGTATGCACTGCAAAAATACATGACCAAGTATTTGCATATGTCCATTTTTAAACTTTGCATATAAAAATTGTCAGGACGATGCATACAGATTTAACTTAATAAGCAAGAAGGATATTGTATTCTAAGTCACTTTGTTCAAATTTTCAAGTGCTTAAGCATACTACATTGAAAGATACTTTTTTTGGTATTTTTTTTACTTTCCAAAGCTTTTATTTAAACCTTTTGTTAAATTTTCTCAAAAATTTTGGGAGATAGACTACAAACTTAAATATAGAATAGGTGCAGAACAACAAGGTTTTTGGTTTACAAAAGTTAAACTCAGCTACACAGAAGGGTGTAGACAGCAAAGATACTAAGGTTTCAAAGTGTTGCTTCAGCTAATGTGTGTGATTAAACAAAAGTGTTTTAATTTTCTACTTTTTTCCTTTTAATGATTACAGCCAGAAGGCATTAAAAAAGAACTTCATGCAGGTTTCACTTTGGATCCACAGGGTGTTTATGGTATGAGAATATATGCCTTCATCTTCTTTCTTTATTTTTTCATTTTCTTGATTCACATAGTTATGATGATCAGTTTTTCCATAATGTGAAAAATTTGTGGAAATGGAAAAATGTGCTTTTCCTTCTTGACATATTCTTCATATGACCCTTTCAAGGATTTATTGTTCTTTCATTGACAAATCCATCTCAGAATAGCTAGTCTTTCAAAAAAAAAGTGTTTTTTTTCTTAAAGTAACATTTTTATCTTTTAAAATAATATAATACTAAGCTTTTCTCAGTGTGCTTGAAAATTGATTAGCATTTGCTTTAGTAATGAAAGTAGCATATTTTCTCCTTTAACCAGAGGTGACTCTGAAAAAAGAAAAATTAGGTCAAGATTAGATTTTCTCTTAACACTAATGTCAAAAGAAAGATTAATGTGTTTGCATCTGTAATTTTTCAACAGTCAATATTGTTTGTATGTACATTTGGGGATAGTTGTAGTTTTCATGTTGTTTCTTTTGTTGTTGTTGCTGACTTCTCAATAGTTGAAATCTTTAAATGTCTATTACATCTAAATCCTCTATTGAATTAGATTTTGCAGTATATTATATATTCAATATTGAACCTTTTCAATTATAGGTGCAGTCAAGAGACGCCAAGAATTTCGTTATAAAATACCACTAAATCTGGTCCCTAAAACAAAAATTGATAGAAGTGTCAGTGTAAAAGGTAAATTGAACTGAAGCTTTTAGTCTATTACTCTTAGTACATATGCAGTGTCTCTATGTATGTTCTGTGTATCTTTGTTCTGTCTTACATCCTTTGTTTACATTTGCCTGAGTTTATTCCTAGCTTCTTCTTTTCAGTAAAGTCTTTGTAGATCACCTTTTTATGTAAAATTTTAAATACCTCATATAGAATAACTGCTTACATGTATAAGTATCAGATTCTGCCCTTGGATTCACTTCCATTATCATTCTTTTAAATCTTTTTTTTTTTTTTTTTTTTTATTTCCACAGGACATCTTATGGGTGAAGTGATTGCCACAGTCCTTAATCCTAGTGGTATTAGTATTCTTACTAATCTTCCAAAGGGCAGCGCAGAGGCAGAGCTCATGAGTATTGCCCCTCTTTTTTATGTGTTTCACTACTTGGAAGCATCAGATAACTGGCACATACTGGGTTCCAAAACCTTAACTTCCAGAACTGAAATGAGGAGGAAGATGAAAGAAGGTAGAAAAATATAGCTGCTTCTCTTGCTTCAGAGCTGTAGAAGTGCATAAATTTTGCTGAGTAAGAAAGATCGTGTATCTGAGTAAGCAAACACAATTTTAATATAAATCTCTTCTCATAACTTTCTTTCTGCCTAATATTCCCTTAGGAATTGTAAGTGTTTTGTCATACAGAAATGCTGACTTCTCATATAGCATGTGGAAGAATGGGCAAGCTAGCACATGGTAAGTTAAAAAAATCTTTTGATTAGTATGAACGGGAAAAGCTTCATTCAGCCCTTTGCTTTCAATTAGGACAAGTGAGCTTAATGGTAGATTTATATGATGCTTATAGCTCTGAATAGTATCTTTTCATTTCTTGTTTTCTTGTGATATATATTTTTTGTGTGTCCATAGTTCACACCATTACAAGCAAGTTGGACCTCGGGGTCCATACATAGGTAGACATACCTGAGATAGTTTCTAACTCTTCTTTGGGCTTGGAATTTTACAAAAGGACTATGTAGAGCTTGGTTTCCTGCTCAAGCAAAGGTTGCACTCCAAGTTTGAAGAAGGAAAGCTAGGTACAGGGAGGAGCAAAGGAAAAAAGGTGATACCCCTTGTTCACAGAAATACGATACTTAAAAGATATCAAACAAAAGGGGGTAATACTGTCTATGGAAAATAAAGTCTACCATTGCGAATTAGGCAAAATACATAGTCACTGTCTTTCCTTTCATGACAGCAAATGCAACTGGCTTATAGAAAGAAAGAAGTAAGATGCTTCAGAAGCATCTTCCTTAAGATCTGATGAAAGAAAAAAATATTTTGGACATGTATAGAGTAATGAGTTTATATTCTGAACCATGGGATTTGGTCCTAGTTATAAAATTATTTATGGCTAATTATTGCCTGTTTGTTAAAAATTAAAATTCATTTGCTATATTCTTTGAACTGTGGGAGTGGATAGCACACCTAAAACATAAATAATGGATATTTTTCTAATCTCTAACAATGTGATAGTATCTGATAATCAAACAAATATAATCTGTTTGATTTCTTTGGCAGGTTGACAGCTTTTGCTTTAAGAATTCTTGGACAAGTTAATCAATATATAAATCTTGATCAAATTTCTGTTTGTAATTCACTTCTGTGGTTGATCGATAACTGTCAAATGCCAGATGGGTCATTCAATGAATTTTCAGATTATCAACCAGTGAAACTACAGGTATGAAAACCAAACATTTTGTGTGTGTACGTACAGTAAAAGATAAAGACGCAGGAGGTGCAAGGTATTTACGGCTGCATTTAACCAGAAAATCTAGTCAAAACAATTTTGCTAAATTTGCCTCTTTCCGAACTCATTTAAAGAAAACACAGTATTAAAACTTTTCTGTCTTGCCAGTAAAAGTAGCTGTGTGACACTCAATATTTAGAAAGAAAAAAAGTGTAGGTTGATTTTTACAATTTAATAGCCCAGCTTTCTAGTAACTTTTTATGTTTTGGCCTTTTTTTTTTTCATTTTTTTTCAATAACCTATTGCATTCAAAAGAGTTGAATTATTATTTCTTACCAGAATTTCTATTTGTTTCCTTGCATAAACTGTAAAAAGTTATATTTATCTAAATTAACTCTTATTTCTATTTATTTATGTGATTATATTTGATTTTATAGGGTACATTACCTAGAGAAGCTAAAGAAAAATCTTTGTATCTCACAGCATTTTCTATTATCGGAATTGAAAAGTCAATGAAGATATGTCCTACTCAGGTAAATACTGCTTTTATTTCTGCCAGCAGTCATATGCTGGGATTCTAATTTCTTGCATCTTCTTTAACATCTGTTCAAAGAAATCAACACTTTTTTTTTTAGATTTAGTTGCTTTCAAAATCAGTAAAAGAACAACAAAATTATGGATCAGTATGTTTTAAGATATATTGTAGAAAATACTATATATCTCTATATTATCTTTTTTGTGTTTCTTTAAAACTATGTCTATTACTAAGCTGTAGTCTGTTCATCTTTTCAGAAAATCCATGATGCTAAAAATAAGGCAGGAGATTATTTAATGAAAAATGCAGAGTCTGCACAAAGCCCCTTTACTATGGCAATAATTTCATATGCGTTAGCTCTTGTGGATTTGAACCATCAGTCTTCACGATTGTTGTTCTCTGCACTGAAGAAGGAGGCATCTGTCATAGGTATTGCTTATTAAGTTCTCTCAAAGTGCGTATTGTAGTTGTTTCTCAGGTGGACTGTTCTTTCATTTTTAAAAAAAGTCTCTAATGGGCTTCTACTTGGCTCATTATTTTCAATGGTGCTTGCTCTGGCATATATGAATTTTTAGTCTTGTGTTACCTAGTATTTTTGCAGGGTTTAATCCTGCTTTTGGCTTTTCAGCAGTGCAATTTCATAAGCAGTGTGCAAGTTGGTTAGACATTTGTCATTCCTCAGCGTATCACAATGTTTGTTCTGTCTGCTTTCTTTTTTATGCAAGTGTCCGTAGGGGGTTATTTTTGTCTGCCTGCTCATCCTTGTGATGTGACTACATTCTTCTTTACCTCAGACTGGAGTTTCTCACAGTATCTGCCAGCGCCCTCACTTTTGCTTTTGAGGGGGTTTCCCCTTAATTTCTCACTGGCTGATGAGGGACTTCGTAATCTCTTGTGAATGCTGTTTATTTTTAGTGCTTTTTGTTAAAGGAAGAGACTCAGTCTGTTCTCCTAGAATAGAAAAGTTTTGCCCTGCATGTAGAAATTGACATTAAAAAAAAAAAATCAGTATTCTATTTATCTGGCCACTCTGTCACTGTTCAGGACCAGTAATTATTTGGATGTGATTCAGATGCTTTGCATCAGGTCTGTTTATCATCAGTTTCTAGAATAAATATCAGATTTATAAACATAAAAGCATATCTTCATTTCCTGTTAAATGTAGAGAGAATTCCTCCTTTTCTCCTTGACCTGAGTAGGCAACCTGAAGCCTGGCTTTTGTGTTTTTGTAGGCGAGCCTCCTATTTATCGTTTTTGGAAAGATAGTTTAAAAACATTAGACCACCCCACTCCCAATTCTGTTACTGCACAAATGGTTGAAACTACAGCATATGCATTGCTTACTGCACTGCTAAGAGGGGACAAGAACTATGCTAATCCAATCATCAAATGGTTGTCTGAAGAACAAAGGTATGGTGGAGGATTTTATTCAACACAGGTGAGCTTTAAAATACTTTGTTCCCATTCCTCAAATACCAAAATCTAAGCAGCCTTATGAGGGTAATATCATTAGATGACACCTTTGACAATTTCAGCATCCTTTCTGTGGTACTAGTATCAAATTGCTCTGATACTATGATTTTCTTTCTTTCTGGGAATTATGACTTCTTTTTCAGAAATGCATTATAAATAGAAATTTGCAAGCTGGTAAATATCTTACAACTGTGTTAAGTGCATTGCTGAGATGCTGCTAAGCTGTTTATCTGGTAATGGTTACTGTCATCCCATTTAGGTAGCAGAAAATGAATTACTTTGTAAAAAATGTTTACTTTTTAATTTTAGAAAGTAAATCTTTATAATTGATTTCTGACAGGACACTATTAATGCTCTTGAGGCCTTGACTGAATATTCCCTTCTTGTCAAACGGCTTAATTTGGACATGAGTGTTAAGGTAGCATACAAAAATTATGGAGATCTTCATCTATTTAAACTGACAGAAGAAAATTTTGTGGGAAGAACTTTGACAGTGAGTGAATGGCTTCTCTTTTGAAAAGTTAAAGCAAAATTCCCAGTAACCTGTTAAATAGTTCTTTGACCTTTGAAATCAGTACTAAAGTAGCTTTTTCTTTTAATAAAATGGTATTAAAATGACATAGCAAATGTTTAAGAAATTTGCTTATCTGCTACATTTAATCATTTTTTAATATGTAATTCATTTAAATTTAGCATTTCTGCTTGTTTCTATGATCTTTTTGTAGAAGCTGTTTGTAGCCTTAATTGTATTTAAGAGGTAGGAAAGACAAGTAGATCATCAGATCTGAATTACGTTCTTGTTAGCACAGTCATTATTATTTTTCTTATTACCTTATAACTATTTATATTTAACATCAATCCTTTAGGTACCTTTGGAAGACGACATATATGTAAGTACTGGCAGCAGCACTGGCATAGCTACAGTAAATGTAAGTATGGAACCTTTTTTTTTTTTAGTAGTGTCTCTGGTTTGTTAATGTGAACATTGAAAAAGAAAGTGATTTTTTCATAAGGTATTCTAAAAATGTATAGGTATACACAGGTATTCTAAAATGTAAATATTCTAATGTAGTAGTATCTATGTTCATAAAAATAATCAGGATAATTTTTAGTCTTTGAAATACAATCAGCAAGAGTGGTGTAGTTTTGCTCAAGAATTTTATGTCTTATCAAAACTAAACATGCTAAGCATGCTGTTTGTTTTTACTTGTATTGTATTCCTCTAACTCAAAATTCTGAATTTAACTTTTTTTTTTTTTTGCCATATTTGAGGATTGTTTACTGTTTCTATTTTGTCTAATTTATTTGTATGTTTGTAGGTGAGGACAGTATACAACCTAATCGGTACTTCTGAAGAGTCATGTAACTTTGAATTGAAGATTGTTCCAAAGCGAGATGATGGTAAAGGGTTAATCTGGTTTTAAATAACAGTACCCAGATCACTGCAGGGGGAAAAAAAAAAAAAAAAAAAAAAGGAAAGCTTATTTAACAATGTGCTTTTTATTAAGAATGAAACTAAAAAAATATCTTACTTTTTTCAGTGGAATGCAAAACTGGAAAAGAAATTGCTAGAAGCCTTCTTAGGCCTTCTTGAAACTATTGTCTTTTCGTGAATAGAACTAATCTTTAATGTATTTCTGTTAGTTGCATTTTAACTCATTTATGGAAGTGTTATTACAATTGGGACAGTGAGGAATACAAAATTCTAGCAGAAGAAAGAAATATAGTAGGACTAGGAGGGTGGTTTGGGGTTCTATGAGGTAAGAAAAAGTTCTTAGAAGGTAAGTTCTACAAAGTACTGAAAGTTGTAGTCCAGTTACAGCAGGGTGTACAAACGCATTCTGAGCTTTTGCCATGAAGTAGTTTTAATAACATAAGTGTGTGATAAATAATACTAAGCATTAGAGCTGATATTTCACCTGAATTATAAAAGACTTTAGTGTTGTTTGTAGCTACATGTACATAATGAGTTCCTATGAAAAATTGCTACCAAAATTATTTTAAAAATTCTCTTTCAATTACGAAAACACTTTACAAGAATTTTGGGGTTGCTGTTCCTGAGGAGTTTTAAGATCACTTATTTGACTCTACTTGATATGACAAGGTTACAGAATAGAAGATGGTGGGCCACTTGGGCGCATAGAGGCTTGTGCAAAGTAAGTACAGCTGGTGGGGTTTTACTTGGGTAGTTTGTCTCAATTACTGTGGAAATAATAACAAGCTTTTACTTTTAAAGGTTTCATTTAAACTTAATGCTGGTTCTAAATGTCCTCAGTTTCGTAAGTTTCAACACTCCTACTTACAGAGGTGGAATTCCCAGCTGATGTGTTAAGGAATTGGAGCACTGCAAACGAAATGCACTGTGGCTCTACAGATACATAATGACAGTACTCTAAGAATGTTACAGACTTTTTGGTCTTACATTTTTTCTTAGTTATTGTTTTAATATTACATTAGCTGACATTAGCATTATATTCACTTATACATTAGCATTATATTCAATTTCTTTTATTTTTTTAAGAGATTGAAATGTTTTTATTTGCTAGTCCTCCCTTATTAATAATTGCATCTGGCCTTCTGATCTTGTTTTCTTCATTTTTCTTCCCTTTTATGCATGTGTGTAAACAGAATTGGAGATTAAGATTGTTAGTTTTTTTGGAGAGTATTTTTTGTTGATTTATATCTGTGTTCTTCGAGAACATAAGTATTAAGAAAAGTTCATATCCATGATATTGACAAAAATCTGAAATGATTCATCTGGAATATTTTGCTTCATTATGATGTTCTAAATGTTGGTAGAATTTTCCTCATTATTTTCTGGGATTACACATTGAAGTTTACTTTCTGTTTCAGTTATGTTTAACTACTTTTATTTTTAATCTGTTTTAGGTACAAGCCCAGCACGAGAGAGCCACAGTCAGGGTCTGCTCATGCTGTGATGGACATAGGTTTGGTTAGTGGATTGGAAGCAAATATAGAAGACTTAAATACTGTAAGAATTAAAAAAACTTTATTTCTTTTACTGAAGTGTTGCTCTTTTTTTGACAGAACTATGATATTGACTGTTCAATTGTAATTGTTGTTCAACATGTCAATATCAGTTAAAGGCAACCCGAGTTATACTTATACTTACAGGATTTAAATAGGATACTAAATGTGGACTCAAGTATCCCTTTAAGGATAATTAGCTTTGCAGTTCTTTGTTATTTTCATGCAATGAAGATAAAAAGGATAATTTCCTTAAAAAATAAAAATAGTTTAAACATTATAAGAAGCAACACTGAAATAAGTTTTTTGAATCTCAGAATTACGTAAAAGTTAGTGATAAGTAAACCTTCATGATCATCCAAAAATCTTTAACTGTTGCATAATTTTTTTTCTCTGTTTTTTTGTTTTCCCTACAGCTTGCAAGTGGAGTGGATCAATTGATAGCTGATTATGAGATAATAGATGGACATGTTGTTATTCAGATAGACTCTGTATGTTACCCCTTTCATAACTTTAAGAACAACTTTAACTCTTCGGAATCACTGTGTTTCCTTTATAGAACTCCTTAATTCATGTGTCTTTCCAATAGGTTCCAGCTGATAGTTTCCTCTGTGTTGGGTTCCGAATAAGTGAGCTTTTCCATGTTGGAATGCGAAATCCTGCTACATTCACTGTATATGAGTATCATGCACCAGGTATGTATTCCATGTCTTCAAATTCATGTGTGTTCTTTTCAAATGTTTATTCCTTCTTGAAGACTACATTTTTTCTTCTTCCACAGCTTTATAATCCTTGTTACTTTAAGCTCAGGTAACTTCTGACTCACAAAGTTTCAGTGCTGACTTCTTGAATTTTCTGTATTTATTTATTACAATTTTTTGTATCTTCTAGATAAAAGATGCACTATATTTTATAACCCATATGGAGATGAAAAACTTGTGAGGTTGTGTGAAGGAAATGAATGCAAGTGCATGGAAGGTAAATTTTTTTTAAGATGTTTTGCCATTTCATTTGGTGGGAAAATGCAGTTTAATGCTTTGGACAAAAACATATTAACACAAGGAAAAGTCCTTGTAAGAACACAGCTGTTGTCCTCTAAAATTTTACATTAAAAAAAATAAATAAATGTGTGCACTATAATCATGGTTGTCCAATTGGATTAAGTTCAGGCAAGTAAGGATACTTTTTCTTTTTTCAGCATTCATTATTCCACCATACACTCCCATAATTACACTGTTTCTCAGTTACAGCAGATTATTCGAGCAGGTAGAGATCCATCGTGTTTTATCTGAAGACATGCAATGACATTGTCCTAACGCTGTTTTTTGTTGTTGTTTTTTTTTTTCTCCTCTCAATGTAGCTGAGTGTAGTAGAATACAAGGAAGACTGGATCAGTCAATAACTGCTGATATCAGGAGAGAAGCTGCATGCCAGAATGATATTGCATATGGTAGTATTTGAATTGTCTTTACCTATTTCTCATGCTCTTAGTCACTTCTTTACTACTGCTGCAGAACATTTTGTTCCAATTAGATCTTTAATGATCAAAATTCAGCAGGCATACACTGTATGAAGGTAACATGTCAGAGCAGAGACGAGTAAGTTCTGCCCATACCCTTTGCTGAACAAAACTCATGTAACAAGGGTTATTGCCCCAGGAAACCTGGTCTGATGAATTCTGCTGTTTTTTCTCTTGGTGTCATTCTAACATGATCATGTAGATTGATGGGCCAAGTCCAGATGCATGACATTAAAAAAAGCTAAGTTCTGGATTCCTGCTGTTGGAGCAAAACAACCTGGTGCAGTGGCATAGGTTTGGGGAAGAGTGGCTGGAAAGTTGCCCAGCAGAAAAGGACCTGGGGGTGCTAGTCAACAACCAACTGAATGTAAGCCAGCAGAAATAGTGTGGCCAGCAGGATTAGGGAAGCTATTGTCCCCTTTTGTGTAGCAAGACTGCATCTTGAATACTGTGTTCAGTTTTGGACCCCTCTCTAGGAGAAGGATATTGAATTGCTCAAACTTGCGCAGAGAAGAGCAACAAGGCTGTTGCAACAAGGAGGATATCAGTTTCTTTTCTCAAGTAACAAGTCATAGTACAGGAGGAAGCAGTTTCCTATTGCACCAGGGGAGGTTTAGATTGGATATTAGGAAGAATTTATTAACAAGGAGGGTGGTCAAGCACTGGAATGGACTGCCTATGGAAGTGGTGGAGTCCCCGTCCCTGGAAGTACTGAAGAGACATGGATTTGGCACTAAGGGACATGGTTTAGTAATGGAACTTGGTAGGTCTGGCTGACGGTTGGACTTAATGGTCTTGAAGGTCTTTTCCCATCTATATGATTCTATGATTCTGTGTAGCTTTGGGGTCAGGGGAAGTTGCAGGCCATCAGATGAGAACCATGCAGTGTATAGCTGTAGCCATGATTTTCCCAGAAGTTAAGGGACATTATATTCTCTACCTGAGCATCTGTAAGGCATTTAGAATATATTGCAGGAAAAAAAAAAGGAATAACAAAAACTTTGTTATGTGTTGTTTTGCAGTTTATAAAGTGAACATCTTGTCTCGTCGTGAAGAAGGTCATTTTGTAAAGTATTCTGCAACTATTCTAGATCTCTATAAAAGAGGTTTGTGTCCTATTTTTAATCCATTTAACTATTTTACTTAGAGCAAGATCTGTCTTGTTGAGACCAATGAAGCAGTTGACAAAAAACAAGAGTCAAATCTAGTCATTTCATGAAAGTAGAAAACCTTACTCTCAAATACAGCCCTTGAGCATTCTTTTATGCCCTAAGAAAGGCACTGTATAATGTTTTTAAACAGCTTTTATCTATTATAGCTGTTGTTAACAAACCTAAACTGTAATCAGTTAAACATCTCTTGTGTGACAAAACAAGCTGAACATATTCCACAATCAATTAATACAGTTGTGAGTTGTTTAGATATATTTAACATTCCATTTAATTTAAAAAATCTTCTGCAGGAAACATGTTTTATATTATCAAATTTTCTTGTTTTATAACAAGTGTCAAATGGCTCACTTGACTACACTGTGCTGTAGAACATGTTAATGTTTTCTATTTCATGCACGTGTAACTAAAAATTCTCTTTGTGAAATTTTCTAATTCTTGACATTCTACTTCAGGGCATGCTTTTGCTGAAAAAAATAATGAAATTACCTTTGTTAAAAAGAAGACCTGTACTGATGTTGAACTGAGCCCAGGAGAGCAGTATTTGATCATGGGCAAAGAAGCCCTAAAGATAAGCATTGGTTACAGTTTCAGGTAAGTAATTTAACATCAGAATGTGTTAAGATTTAATCTTAAAGTATGTTGTCAAGTGGCGAGTGTTTGTATGTAATAATTCTCATGTAATATATAATTTATTTTTAAAGTATCAGTTGACCAATGATAACCCAGTGTGTTTTCAGATGTGTAAATTTAAAACAGGATTATGAACACAAACCAATCTATTTCATATTGTAATGCTTTTCCTGTTAGGCAATTCCCTCCCCAAATCTTAGGAGTAAATGTGCGTTTTCTGTTGTCTTTTTAGATTCCAGTACCCTTTGGACTCCAGCACTTGGATTGAGTGGTGGCCTTCAAACACAGCATGTACATTTTGTCAGGAATTTTTAAACAGAATGGAAGATTTTGTTGAAGATCTCATCATCAGTGGCTGTTGATTTACGTGGATAATTTTTTAATTGAAAATACAGATAAAAAAAAAATCACAAAAAAAGTCCTCAGCTGTTCAGTAATTATTTTCAGAACTTAACATTCGTGACTAGTTCATCTTGGAAAACACTCTTAGCTTGTATTTCAAAGCCACTTTCTTATAACCTGGTAATTTTCAAAGTACGTTTTTTAAGCTTGGATGGAAGAATAAAGCAGAATACTGCAAAGACATTTGAAGTGAGATGAAGTGAAATGGAATGACTGTAAATATGGAAAATGCTGTCTTTTGCCAGAATAACCCTCAGAAGCACTGAAATCCAATGTCTTATTAAAACATAACCCTTACTTCAGAAAAAAAAATAAAAAATAAAAAAGAATTGTTTTATCAAATAATTTTGTTCCAACTTTAATTGGAAAAAAAAGACATAGCCTAGCACAATTGTATCCAAGTAGTTAGGACAAAAGCCTTCCTGAAGCCCTTGTTACTTTATAGTACCTATTTTAAATGTTCATTTTCCAACCACAGTAAAGTACTGTAGCGTAAGAATAGTACAAGACAAATCCTAAAGCTATTTCGTTTACACTATGAGTGTAAAGCCAGATGCTGCTGTATTGGTGACCCTTTTTTGCTTCTTTAGTTTTCTCATCCTCATTTTTTTGTACCTTAGACCTGCAGATGACAGATTCTTGCTTTTTTATTTTTAACTTAAGCTGGTATCCAGGTGTTTACATTAACATTTTTCATTCAACTTGTGGTTGGAGCAACAAATTTTTAAACTAAATGATCCTGAAGATTTACTAAGTTAAGAAATTTTAGTTTCTTCATGTTTGAAATGCAAAAATTTATTTTAACAGTGCATTGAAATACTGCAGTGCAACTCAAACAACTCCCACTCCCTGCAATGGAAAGAAAACATACTGGAAACATGTTCATATTCAGTTACAGGCAACTCTTCACTTTTTATAACTAAACAAACTGAAAAATCTTCACCATACCTGGCAGCATTTCATTTTTGAAGTGATACTTACATTCATTGAAGATTCTGTCATTTGTAAAGCATTTTGGCATGTAAAATTCTCTGAATAAGCAAAACATTTAATTAGAAGCTTTTTAAAATCTCATTTGTATATGAAAGGGAGAACTTCCAAGTCTGTTGAATCTGCACAGCAGTTATGATTAATTTGTGAAGTGTCAGTGATGTATTCAGAGGAATTAATAGTTTTCTAAGGATTTTTTTTGAGAAGAGCCGTTGGAGTGATTTGAACATGCCACGTCAGTTTGTCTGATGAGAAAAAAACATTTTTCTTAAGTGCTATGTAGGTGTGCTGCAAGAACAAACTTTTTTTTATAAAACCCTTAATATTTCCGAGTAATAAGCTCACACAGGACCTTTAAAATAAGGCAAACATTGTTAGTCTCATGATTATAAGACAGCAGTGTTAAATCAAGATGAAAAAGAAAATAGTCATGTTTCTACAATGAAAAACCAAGCATGTGATACAGGGGAACCCCACTCTGAGAGAGATCAAATCTAGTGTTTCCCCTTGCTGATGGTGTGCTAAGAATTTCAGTCGTTAACCAATTTGGTAAGTCCTCTTTCAAGATGTTGTTTATCATATCGTATATGATGTATTTCAACCAATTTTGAATACTTTTGAAGTTTTTGTATTTGATAGTGGTTGTTGTTTTTTGTTGTTGTTGTTTTTTGTTTTTTGTTTTTTTCTGATAGCATTGGTATGTTATTCATCTGTGTAGAGAAAATATATTATTTTAAAAACTGTTCACAGGTTCTCTTTTAGGAAGACCACATTTTGGATATAAACCCTGCAGTCTTGGTAAGACTTGTTTGAGCAATTATGATAATAAGTCACAATACTATAACTTGTATTACAATAATATTTAAAACTCACATGGAATTATACTTTGCTAGTATTCTTAATGGAACAGACTTCCCAGCTATGACCATGGCATTGAATCGTGCATAAAAGCTTATTTTCCAGATAGATAGTACAGTTTGTACTTGTTTTTTTCACTATGCTTCTTAATTTTTGAAAATATTTTGCCAGAAGAAATTGCTCCCCTTTTTTAATTTAGGCATTATGTCTTATACAAAGGAATATACACAGCTTTTGAAACACTCCCAGATTGCCACTCTGACAGAAACAGTAGAGGGAGCGCAAGAACATAGTTTTAATGTAGGTCCTATAAACATTAGTATGTTACCCCCTCATGTCCTAAAAAGAACTTCTGAAAGACATTTTTCAAATGTTCAATTACTGAAAATGCCTAGTGAATGAAAAAAAAAAGAAGTACCTTACTGTATAGTGCCACAATGTTGATTTCCTGACTGCTAGCAGAAAAAAAATAATCTCACCCAAACTCTTAGTCAGTGAAGCTCACCTGCAAGACAGGAGCCACCCCATAATCTCTCAGATTCTTGGCCAAATTTTAGATTTGATGGAGATGGTTTCATATTCAGGACTGTGTGATAAAGAGGGTGCAAAGTATCCTCTGACCAGCACAGAGTTGTGAGCATGAGTGTCTGCAAGCAGCGATACAGCCAGTTGGTCAGGATGCTGCATGCATTTTAAGGATAGCAAAATTACTCCCCATGGAGAAATGCAGTATGTGAGAACTGAGAATAGGAAATGTACTTCAGTGCTGCTTCCTGCCTTTTAGAGAGATAATCAAATAAATGCAGTTTAAAACCACAGAAATAAGGAAATTCAGAATTCAGCCTGAGAAAGTCCTCCTTTCCCCAAACTAACCTGGGCATTGTCTAGCAAGTGCATGTACATGGTAGCATGTACTGAGTGAAACTTAAGCTACAAATTAAAACATTTGTATCAAGCAGGAGATTTCTTCATATTAGAATTTCCTAGATTCTATGATTTTAGCATATACGCTTTGTGATATTTCAACAGACTAGGCTACGCTGCGGTTTAATTTTATAAGGTCAGCTCACTTCAAAAGGTTCTTACCACTGGGTATATTGTACTGATAATGGCACTGAGAATTTCTCAGAATTATTAGCCTTCCACTAAAAGAAATGTAAAAGTACAAGTAGGGATGCCTAAAGTAATTCTTTTGCATGAAGAAATCTTGCAATGCTAAAAAATACTGGAAGCAAAATATGTGCGGTAGCAGACCAGGGAAGCAGCATGTAAACTAATATAACCTGTATGAAGTAGATATGGGGAACAAAAATTAGGGAAATGAAAAATAATAAAACAAAAAGCCATAAAAGGGCAGCTTGTTTCTAAACCAGTAGGAGTTCAGCATATCAAGTCTTTGTAATGCTTTCATTTTACTCTTACCCTCCATCAGCCTGTCTCTTCAGTCTTGAAATCTCTAATTCTGCTGTAAACCTGGAGCACTGGAGGATTTACACGAACAAGATTCTGAGGCAGCTCCCCTGAGACTGTATTTTTGGGGGAAACGCAAAGTTTTCTGTTTATCTTCATAAGAGAACATGCTACAACACCTCTGTGTTTGGAAGATATGGTGCGTAAGTGCCTAAGGATTAGTGCATAAGCCATGGAAAAGGATAGGAATAATGCTTCTTCTAACGTATACGTTTGTCCTCCGTGCAAAATGTTTCTGCAGAATCCAGCACAGGTACCTGTCTGTCCTGTGTCATCTTGTTATTAAGGTAATTCTATATTCATAAGGTACACATCAGTCACTGCAAACAAAACTGCACTGACTTTAGATGGGATGTTTACACAATATTTGCAAAACCTGCACTGTTCAGATGGCTTTATCCTTACATCTAGTGGCTATTGCACATTGCAGTGGTCGCCTTCTTCTCTGTCACAGCAGACAAGTCAGAGATTGCATATGTGTGGAGAATGTCTTCCTCTTCTGCTGTGGATAATCTTTGTCTGCTGTTATAAAATTATGTTTGTATGACTTTGCAAATAAAAGCAGCCAGTTCATCTACTGTCTGTGCAGAAAAAAAAAAAAAAAATTATTCCCTAGGTTTTCCTTTTTTACACTTTTCTCTGGAATACCTCTTTGTGGGTGTTCCATTGTCTTTTCCTGATGTTAACTAGTGCTATATTTATACTCTCTATGTTCTTGTCCAAAATAATAAAAAAAAAGAGTTCCCAAATAATATTTGTGCCATTCATTTGTATTTTAAAACATAGTAGACTGAACCAATGTCTACTGCAACATAGGTAGATTGGTAGATTTACAACAAATGCTATTTTGGCACTTGATGACTGAATTGGACAGTTAAAAAGCCTGCCTTGCCTCCAGGAAAGTGGCAGATGAAGGGCCAAATTACATTACATTCTCACAGCTGCTGGCACAAATCAGCTTAGTTCCCAGTAAAACTGAGAAAATAATTTGATACAAAGTACAGTTGCACATATTTGTATTTTTATTGACTAGTTGCCCAAAAGCAGCATGGCCAAGAACTTCAACATCACAGTTTTTCCTCTCTCTTAGGAGTATCTTCAGTCCAGAGTGATTAATATGTGGAAAGAAGAAGGTCACAGATGCACTTTTTAATTTTGGCTCTGTGAGTACTTTTTTAATCTTCTAAACTTTTCTAAGAAGCATAAGATAACACTATCCAATAATATCTGGATATAAACTCAAACTGCAGAGTGAAGTACACTTAAATGCTCAGTGAGGTTGTTTAGGCAGTCCGCCTGTAAGCGTTTCTACTTCTGAACTGTACTTTACATAAAAGCTTTACATGGCAAGGAGCACGTCTTGTTTTCAGACATGACTTGTGAAATTTCAATTCTATTGATTATTTCAGTGAGACAGACCCCAAAGAGTTTGTATTGTTCCTGAAGATCTAACAAATTAAATTACTGTATAAAAATGCTACACTTATTTTTTTTAAATCGACTGACTTGATAATTATCTTCAATCTTATTTGTTGTTGCTGCTTCTATCCAGTATTATCTATCCATTAGATAGAGATCATTACAAGATTGCCAACATATTTTAAATGTGTATTTTATGTGTGTGTGTATTTAGACATTTAACCATGTGCAGTATGGAGGTTTGTGTACATATGTACATACTGATGTTGAAAGATTTATCTTTCTCATGTGGCATTGCCTGGCTTTCATACGAAAACCATGGGGGAAAGGTACATCTATTTCTTCATCTATTTGACACAGGAAAATTCCATTGGATCTAATCAGTAAGACAGGAAAAAATGGAAGTAGCACGGGATTGATTTTAGAATCTACTGCCATGCTAATCTTAGTGATTTGCAGTCAGAGAGCCCTGAGGTACGCAGCAACTCACAGGATTAATCTCAGAAAAAATAGAAATTCCTGGAAAAATCACTGCTTAGATGACTCATCTGTATTATGAAATGGAAATTATTTCAAAACACATTCTGTACTTACTGGGGATTCTGGAC